CGGGAGATACCACTGATAATAACTATGATAACGTTAGCATAACCATTTATGTTTTTTATCTTATTAAATGATATATTATTTATTATATCTTTTTGTTCGTTTCGTTTCAAAACTATTTCTAAAATTATTATTTTACAAGTAATCTTTTTGTTAAAGGACGTTAGCCAATGTTCTTGAACGAAATTACTATCTCATCTGAAAGACTTTATCGCTTTTCTCGATAATCTAGATCATAAAACGTTAATACTGAGTTTCTAAAAACTCATAAATTAATCCTTGGCGTTGATACTTTAATGAACGTAGTTGAAGAACAATTTTAGATTAATATCCATAAGTTTCAATGAAACTAACGAACCGATTACTTTTCTCGTACTTTGTATATTAATAAACTTATTTAATGAAAGTATTCTCTTTGATCTTGAACGTTCTTCTAAATCGAAATATAAAAGTGAACTATCTTCTGAGTACAATAATTACGATGAAGATCCGAAATTTTATCGCGCGAATAACGTGGGAAGCCGTGAGTGAAAATCAGATCTCTATAGAGAAGACAAGAACCGTCTAACGGTTCTTTAACGAAATGACGCGAACTAAAGAAGACAATTACAGGCAAGTACAGATGAGAGGACAAGGGGAGAGTTAACTATTATCTTTTTCCTCTCTCAATGTCCTATTTCGACGTATGTCGGTGAGTGAAACGGCACATGTCATCTCTTTGCTTCGAGAAAAACGAAAATCGCTTTAACTACGATGATCTCCGCCGAGTTTATCGAGTCTAATGACAGGCCGCGAGGCTTGGTGAAACGTATGAAAATATAATCAAGCGCGTGTACTCTTCATGTTCCCTTCTTAAAAACTATAGCTTATGTTTCAAAGAAAGATAATGAATATAATTGTCAAGAAAAGATATTATTTGTTTCGACAAATTGCCAAAGTATTAAATTCTAATGATTGCAATGAATGAAAACAAAGAGAAAGTACTGTACCAAAATACAATCGAAACAATGATTATATTATAATTTTTTTATTGTGGATATATTTAAACTTTATATTCAAGAAATATATAAAACTATAAATGAAAAGAAGGATATCCGGTAAAGATTTTAACGACGTTATTAAACATGTTCTTATCTTTGGAAATTTTATTTGTCCATCGATAACGGAGTTGGATTAGTTCGGCAAACGAAAAGTGACATATTTCGGTCTTTAACAAAGGAGAATTCCTTTCTAAAAAAAGAAACACAAAAGAAGAAACTTGTTATTTTCTTTATACTTCCGACTAGGAAATAATTTTGCTATCGATAAATTTGATTTAAATTGAAATATTAATTTTTCTAATGCTAATACCTATTAAATACGTATACCTAGATAATATCTATTTCAATTTATAAGAACATTATGAACATATAATAAAAAGATTTGAGATAATTAAAACAAAACAAAAAACACTCACGCGACGAATGTCCATCTCTCTTTCTCTCTCTCTCTCTCTCTCTCCTCTCTCTCTCTCTCTCTCTCTCTCTCCTTCTACCTCTCAGAATCTTCTTCTCCTCAGCATATCACACCTCAATGAAAAACGAAATGACGAAAGAAGGTACTTCTTCTTCGAAGAAATCTTCTTTAACTCGCGATAATGAAGTAAAAGAAAAAGTGAAAATGAATAAGAATATATGGTACTTTGTATAAAAAGTGAGTCAGTGTCCCATCGTAAGTATTCAACACACTATACTGAGTATCGACGCGAGACGAGATACGAGTGACGCTACAACGAGAGCGGAGAAACGACAGGAAGAGAAGGACTACTACGGATGGAAGAGCACCATGGAGGAGGACGACTGACTGAGGAACACTTTGGAGAGGGAGGCGAATGGGAAAAAGAGAGAAGAAAGGTGTGCACTTGACCAGGGTCAAAGAGAGAGTCCATTGGAGTCTCTTATGTACGAGTGACTTATATACGTTCGCTCTTCTCCCCTCATTCCTTTCATCTTTTCCTCCCTCTTATTCTTCTTTTCTAACCTTCGTATCAAGAATGTTTCATCTCGTCATCGACCACCTACAGATACCATTTTCCGTTCTTTTCAGCATAATCAATAGCTTTTCCAATGGTTTTGTACCTGACATCTTTACCTGCTGAACCCTTGCTAAAATACTAAATAAGGATCGAGAAAAAAATTTTACCTGCTCTTCAAGATATGTTTCCAAGTAACGTTTTGTATATCTTAAAAACAAAAAGTTCTCTTCGTAGATCTTAGCAATGTAAAAATATTACAATGCAGTGAAAAAATAGAAAACATATTACATTATCCGAGTAGATATAAAAAACAAATTTTAATATTTATTACATTTGTCATTATAATATTAAAAAAAAAAAATAAATAAATTCATACAAAATACATATGCATCTTTGTGATCTCTTAGTTAAAATAATTCGACGTAAGAATAATCGTCGAAAGGCTTACATTAAAAATCTCAGTTTAAGGATATTTGACCTGTTCGAAAAAGATTTACTGACTGATAACTTTCGCTTTTGAGGTAGTGTCCTTTTTAGTACCACGCTCACGTAATCGTAAATTTTCGACAAGCCATAGAATATAAATTTTAACTGTTTAAATCATTGATATCGAACTGTTGTTGAAAAAAAAAGAAAAAAGAAATAACTCCAAACAATAACTAAATAAATAGTTACAAGTTACATGAATTAAAAGTCTCTTACGTCTATGCGCGTTTAATGAAAATCTATCGAAAGTATACAAATAATTTTTATTCTTGAGACATCTTTAATTACATCAACGAAGTTCCTCTTCCTCGAACAAAAGCCTTGAAATCTTTGAATTACCGTCATTTGTCTTCGTCGTTGGTGAAACGTACGACGATCCAGAACGTTAAAACAACGCAACTTTACGTATGAGGGGGAAATCGAGGGTGAATCCGCGGAATACAAAATCGCCAGAAAGCGACGAGAAAGTCTAACCGGGTTTAATGCTCTACGCGCGTAACATCGGCACGTTCCAGGCTCCTTCGTAGTTTGTCGATCGAGTCTGCATACACGAGAGTCTTTCCGCGACCACGTTATGTATATGCACCCGGCTAAATGGGTTACTAGGATCCTTGAAGAGTCTCGATGTCACGAGACATAAGCTAAGAAGATTCAAGGACTTATAATGAGTTTTGTATCTTTTCAAGTGTTTACAATGAAATTATTATTTTATTTGTAACGTTGTTTATATTTTCTTTCAATAGGTTTCTTTTTTTCTTACTTTTAAAAAATATAGTAAAACTTAAAAAAAAATAATATATCTCTTAACAACAGATGTCATCTTCTATTACAAATACGTATTTGTATATACATATATATATATATATATATATATATATATATATATACTTTATATATAATAAACATAAATTGTTTACATATAATAAAGAAAAACATATAATATAAATATAAACATTTTTTATACTATATACACATATGTGTAAACTTTTTTCTATTCGATAAAATGAATTTTGATTATAATGTAGTATGAATTTAACAGCTTGATACAGTGATAAGAGCTTAATTGTGTGATAATGACAACTAAGCGGAAATAAATAAACTTTAATAACAGAAAATTCATTGTTCTATTATTCGAAAATTAAAAATTCTATTATCTGAATAGTTTTGTCTCGCTATTTTGATTCGAGTATGGAAAGTTTTGCTGCATCTTTAATCATTCGTTATCTTTTATGATTTTTTAAAGAAAGCCAAATATGCGAAGGCCGATGAATAACGTACATTATAATTTTCAAATTAATTGTTCTTAAAAATATTAGTAAATGAATCTTTTTATTTAATTGTGATATCTTCGTATTCATTCATTTCTTCGGTAATATTCCTAAAAAAATATTTCGTTTAGATATGTGTTACTCGATATTTTCAAACATCTCAAAGACACATTATTTATGCGACCTCGCTCATATCTATTTAAATAACATGCATCGTCATAAATATTTCACAGTGTCGGAGAACGAACAAAACTTGCGAAATTATAATAGTAATTGATCGTCGGTGACACAGGTACGTGATCGAAAGTCGTTTCATCGTAATTTTTAGCTAGAGCACGAATAAAATCTAGTTGTCTAACAACGAGACTTTCTTTTTTATGTTGACGACAAATTTCGCCCAATAACGTCGTTGACGTTATCTCTTCTTCCTCTTAGAATTTGATCTACTGTGTTAGCAATATACCAATGATCAAATAGTACGAGATCGAGCTAAGACAAGATAAGTGATAAAGTAAATAAAATATGCGACGTATAAAACAGTTGAAAGAAATGAAATCAGTATAGTATATTCGATATTAAGCTGCAAGAATCGTAACGATCAGAAATACAAATGGGTGCGTTTCTCATTATTTTTAAAGCTTTCTTGATAAATCTTTTAATATTTGATTCAGTAAAAGCTCAAATTTTGTGCACGCAACCTGGATTCTTTCCTTTGGGTGACACCGATTGTCAATACTACTACATATGCACTAAGGATTTAAAATCTACTATATTCAAGTGTCCCGATGGCACAGTATTCGATATGTATAAAAAGGCATGTGTATTACCAACACAAAGTACTTCTTGCATGATATCGACGACAGTCAATCCATATAAGTGTCTAAGCTCAGGTCGATTCCCTATCAACGATCCAACTTGTCAAAAATATTACTTGTGTTACTGGGAGACAAACGGTTATGTAAAAAAGATATTAAAATGTCCAAACCAAACAATATTCGATCCTACGAGAAAATTATGTGTGTTGCGCACAGCTTATGTTTGCCAAACTATTACGACTACTGAAACAAATAAATTTTATTTTAGAAAATCATAATAATAGAAAAAAAAATAAATAAATTCTATATTATATAATATATAATATAATATATAATATAATATATAATATATAATATATAATACACAATATATGTGCGTTGATTCTAAAAATATAATTGAATTTAAAAAGTTTAATTATAATAAATTGTCACCCGTCGATATCTTGCCATTAGATATTTACTTTTATTATATTATTATCATATAACTTCTAACTATTAATGCTTATAATACTAGAACATACAGATTAACTGAAAATAAATTTGATATGTATTAGAACGTAATTTTGATCAAATTTTATATAAAATAAGTTCAATATAGCGAATATACAAATATCGTCGTCCATTTTAATTTCATCAATTCTTCGCTTACATCAACTGAAACAGTTGAGCCAACCAAAATAATTAATATCGGTAACGTATTAAGAATGGGATCAACCAATATGAAATTGTCAAATAAGCATGTAGATGTTTTCAAGATCATTGAAACGAAAGAGACATGATCTTTCCAAATTCGATGTTTTCTTTAGATTTTTCTATTATATTGGACTCCGTTGCTTTCAGCGAATATATAACATTATGGAATTGACTTTAATCTCTAGTCTTCTTTTTGGATTTTTCGAATCAATCATCCATTCTGTAATTCTTCTAGTTAACAATGAATATTATATTGAATATATTATATTGCATTTTACAGTTTTATGCCATCAGATTCTAATATCATTTTCGGTTTAATATGATATTTAAATTAGATTTTCATGTAAATAGAAAAAGAAATATTCATTGTAATTTCTTTGCAATCTGATAATTTGGAAAATATTAATTTAACGGTATTTTAATATCAATACTAACAGTTATGAATTAAATTATATTTTTAATCTTCATACCGTCGTTTAATTTTCTTTTACTCAATAAGAATCATGTATTTTCCTTCAAGTAAATATTATAAATCTAATTGATAAGAACGCGTTATTTTGTGTAAGTAAATAAACGTTAGCAGAATGTCCGCAATGGTTTGACTAAATAACTGTAACTGAATAAACGAAAGTTATGATATGCGTTATTTTGTATAACTGAATAAACGTTAGCAAAATATCCGCAACGGTTTATACGTAAGTGGAAAGTGCACGGAAGAAAGTTATGATACGCAATATGAAACCTTGAGCCGGACAGACTCTTACCCAATCTACTGGTGAAAGGATACATTTTTCATCCACATCTTTCTTTGCCAGCCTTTAGTTTAAAACATGTCGCTACGAGAAATGTCATGAACGTGAAATATATATTTTCTTTGTGAATAATTCTTATGTTAATTACTCGACACAAGAAAAAAATTGTGAAGTTTGAAGTGTAAAATCGTTGAAAATGTGGTTCTTGGTTATTTGTTTATTAATCACATTGTTCTTCAAAATAATGATTGATCAAAAGAAGTCAAGAAATTTTCCCCCAGGTAATTCTACAAAATATATATGTATATATAAAATAAATATGTTATCGAAGAAATGGATTATAGAATAAACGTAATTAAAATAATTAAACCTCTCAGGTCCACGAGGATTACCAATAATCGGAAATATATTGGACATTAAGCGTTTAGTAAAGAAAACTAAATTCCAAGCTCATACCTGGTGTTATTTGGCAAAAATTTATGGACCAGTAGTGCATTTACGACTTGGATTCGGTTATACATTTATAATTATTTCTGGACGTAAGGCTATCATCGAGATGCTCACTCGAGCGGAATTTGATGGCAGACCAGATAGCTTAGAAATTCGATTGAGAACCGGAGGTGAACGCAGAGGATTAATTTTTACCGATGGGAAAATTTGGTCAGAACATAGAAGGTAATATTTATTTTAAAACAATGTTTCATTAACCTATAAATTTCTGTAATTAATATAGATTTACAATAAAAACATTGAAACGTCTTGGTTTCGATAAAGCAAACATGGAAGATATGATACTGGAGGATATTATTATCTTGTTAAAAATAATCGAAGAATTAGCAGAAAAAGGACCAATAACAAATATATACGATCTCGTTTCGGTAACAGTTATAGCCAGTTTTTGGTTTCTTGTCACAGGATCGAAGTAAGAATTTAATTTTAAACAAATACTTACATTTTATGTAAGTATTAACATTCCTCATTGTACGTTTTTTAGATTTCAATTGGATCATGAGGATCCGAAATTGATGGAGGCTATTGCGATATTAAACGAAAATTCAAGAAGCTCTAGAATAACTGGTAGTATAATAAGTCAACTGCCTTTTCTCAGATATATTTTTCCACGTTTAACAGGATATACACAGTTGCAAGAACGGCAAAATCGACTGTGGCTATATTTCAAAGTAATACAATAAAAGATCCTGTAATATCTACAATTTTATAAATTAATTTTTAGAATAGATGCATGTATAAAAAATTTTTTTATCATAGAAAATAATAACGGAACACCAAGTGACTGAGATGCAGAATGAACCAACGAACTTAATCGACATTTATCTAAAAGAGATGCAAACACAATGTTCCTCCAATTTATCTTCATCGTCGAACTTCAACGGTAAAACTGATTTTTTTTTATTATTGAAACCTAATGGTATTAACCTACATGTATGTGTTATTAATTCCTTAACATTTCTAATCTGATTATCATGTACAATTATCCTGTATTGTAAAATCGATATTAATTGTTCGTAGATGAAAATTTAATCGCACTCATTAGAGATCTTTTTATTGCCTCAATCGAGACAACCACCAGTACCACTGGTTTCGTGATCGCATTTCTATCCGTAAATCAATATGTACAAAAGAAGATACATGATGAATTGGATGAAGTTTTTGGCAAAGATATTTCACCTCGTCTCGCATATAGAAATCGGTATTTTATTATTCTCTATTATCTATATCGGTATTTTATAATCCTCATACTTTAGTACAAATAAAAGTTATAATAATCTTATTCGAAGAAGGAGAAATAGAATGGTATATAATTATTACATCAATGTATTCGATGAATAATAATCGAGAGAACTAAGTGATCTAGAACATAATAGAAATCTAGGCGATACATCCATAATTATGAGTTATTGTTTTCATTAATATCTCTCAGACTTCCATACCTACAAGCAACTCTGGCGGAAGTAGGAAGAATGGGGAATGTAGGACCGACTTCGGTGCCTCATCGAGCTATGAACGATACAACTTTGTTAGGATACGATATAAAAAAAAATTCCATTTTATTAGCAAATTTAATGAGCGTTCACATGGATGAAAATCACTGGGGTGATCCCAAAACGTTTCGTCCTGAAAGATTCATCAATGAGAAGGGAGAATATTGCGAAAATCCTTGGCTTATGTCATTTGGATTAGGTATTTTGTAATATGAATGTTATTTTACATTTATCCCTTATTACATTATCACTCTATATTCTATTTCTTTTTTGCAGGTCACAGAAGATGTCCAGGCGAGGTTCTAGCGAAAAATTTTCTCTTTTTGATAAATGCTTGCATGCTGCAAAGATTCCATTTCTCCATAGCACCAGAATATCCAGAACCAGATTTATCGGGTATCGATGGTTTTACTATCTCACCACCACCAATAAATCTTCTCATTAAGAAACGAATATAATGATCATAAAAGACCAATGAAAAAAATGACTATAAGAAAATATAAGTGTAATATGCTATGTAAGACAACTTGAATGGCAAACGAAAAAAATGATTTTAAATAAAAAGACTGATTCATAAGAGGGCATAGATATTAATAGTTCGTTAAATCTTCGCTGGAAATCATTATTTACGTCGACTTATGAATTCGTTACATTTTCTCAGTTCTGTAAACGATATATGCGCAATAGAAAAAGGAGTTAGTTAAAGAAAAATCGAACAATGGAAATTACCTTTATTACTTCTTTAAATACAAGAATTCTTTCAGATAATTTTGACAGTCTATTTACATTTGACAGGCAAGTAGCAAGTTCTTGTATTTACAGAAAACCTTCGCCGTTTCATAAAAATACGACGAACTTTCTCTTTTCCTCCATTACAACAAACGATACTTGTTTCTACGAATATTTGGAGTCAACGCGATGAAGATAAATTTAGATCTTTATTTCTACAACTTAACTTTCATTCTGCAACTTTTATTTAATGTTCGCATTGTCTTGTAATTTGATAAATTCATAACAGCTGAAAAATGAATTAAATCATTGGAAGACGATATCGTCTTTCAGTCGACGAAGTAATTATATCGTATCAACGCGATACTTCGTTTGCAGCATGTAAATCGAAGATTCCTTAATTGTTAATATCGAAATAGCAAAATATCAATATTTATCGAACGAATTCAAACGTTCAGCGCGATAAAAGCGCGTAGAAAAAGTGGATAAAACTACAAATGACCTTCTAAATTACATTGGAAAGATAAGGTACTGAAATAAATTAGCTGCACCTTCATTTACGATTAATATCGTTTAGAAGAGCAAACAATTCTATAGCTTTCCTTAAATGAATCTATAACATAACTTCGCTGCGTAATAATAATACGTCTAGGACGTATACAGGAAATACATAAAAGATCTACATGCATTTAACCTATCTAGATTTTCCTGTGGTCCACATAAACATCTTTTTCTTTATCTACAGATAATAATATCAATAATGTATACTCACAATATATAACAACGAATATCAACATTTTTAGGGACATCGCTATGCTTCCTATCCCTTTTGCAAGTGTTTCAATTGCACAAATGTTCGTAACATTTTCAATGTATCCATTTCTAATTGTAAAAAGTAATATAGATTCAAAGAAATATAGATTCAAAAAATCCTTCTTATATACATTTGTCATGTAGGGAAACTATCAATAACATCTAACTTTTGCCTCTTTTTTTTTTAAGATCATTCACAGCCCCGTGATCAGTTGCATTGTCGCCTTGTTATATCTTTCCCAATTGGCAAAAAGTGCAATCTAATATACTAAATAGCGATAGAAAGAGAGAGAGAGACAGAAGGATATACAATATGCGGGATACGTTTCGTCTAAAACGTAAATCGTATCTTCCCGTGTCAAATGGAGACAATTATCGATCATCTTTCCGATCGACGCTATTATCCTATATTAATCCTTTGATAACTCTCTCCAGTCGTTTCTTCTTCGTCGATCAAAAAAACATAATAAGATTCTAGGTCCGTATTACGGCCGTTATTCCAGACTAGATGAAATCCACCAGAAAAAAGCTTCAAGATGAAAGCACTAAACCCAGACGAGCGAACACCATCTCCTTTCGTAATCTTGTAATCTCCCAATATACATCGTGTACTTTAACAGAAACAAAAAATTTATTGCAGCCTATCGTACCTGAGCCTAAGAATAATTACAATTCTCATAAAACTATCAGGACACAATAAAACATGATCATAAATTTATCATGTAACTTACCCGAGCTTTTAACAAGACCTCGTTCTACGTAACGTAGATAATTGAGAAAATCACAGACCGCTATGATCTAAACATTAAAAGAAACATCGTCGATTATATAATATTTTACGATATATAAAATCTAACTATTTTTCATAAAATAGATGACACTCACTCGGTTGCGACAAATTTGAGAGATACAGTACCATTGATTCTCCTGATCGCCCAGTCTCATACGATAGTGACATTGTCGTGGTGCTTCGAGAAGAGCACACTTTCTAAAAAGACAATGACAAATAAAATAAAATAATTTCCAAAAGGATCAGAAAACTATAGATCGATGAAATAAAAAAAACTCACTTAGGAAAGGCAAGTTTGGTTTTATCACTGACAGCCTCGATAAAAATGATTCCATCGAGAACAGCCTGTCGGACCCTCGAACCGAGTTCTTTATTAGGAAAATCCAAACATAGGTCGATATCTTCTTTGAACACTCTGGCAACAAATGGATCGCTCTTATCGACGCACGGATTTGCTTTCCACCTGAGAAATTCTGTATGAACTCTAGGATCTACCTCCAATCCTAGATCCTTACACTCTTTGTCTCTATCCTTTTCACGATCTTTCTTCCAATCCCTAGCCAAGGCTTCCCTATCACTTGGTAAGGATGGCCTCTGTTCCTTCACAGGAGATTCCGGTGGTGAGTTTTCTCGGCCATATTTAAGATTGAAGTGCGAAGGCGACCTTGTATAAAAAGTTCAATAAATTTTAATATAATTCGCTTCTTCATAATTTATTTATTACGCTATCGATATGATAATCATAAAAGAATTATACCTTCGATGTTTCTTAGCAAAAAGACCTTGCTGACACTCATCACCCGAATTCAAACGACATCTCGTGTCAATCTGAGGATGCAAATGTGGATTTGGCCTGGCTGGAGTCGAAGTCAAGACCAAAGTCTTTAAGGCCGTCACTTCAGCCGCTAGGACCTCGGCTTTCATTCGACTCTCCTCCAGAAGACGTTCTGCCGTCGCTTGCCGCACGTTCGCCTCGCGCACCATATTGTGCGCTTCCTAAAAATGAATTATCCTTCGAGCTCGATTTCATATCCTTTTCTCTCTCTCTCTCTTTCTCTCTCTCCCCCTTTCTCTCTTTTAATCTCCATATCTCGATTCTCGACACGACGTACTTGAAATAGACTAGCGGTGAGTTCCTCCAGCTCGGCCTCAACGTCCTGTCGAATCCTCGAGAGCCTTGCCACCTCTTCATCCTTCAATTTCAATTCCTCGTGAGCTCTCTTCAACTCCTCCTGCAGTTTCGCCACAGCGTGTTCTTTTACTTCTGCTACGGCTCTGCCCCATTGTGCAGTTGTTGGAGAGGGAGGATCATTTGAATCCTTTGTTAAAGAAGTTTCTTTCTTCACTCGAGAGTCAGCCTGCATTAACAAAATATTTCCATTATTAATTTTAAAAAGAATAATTTCAAAAAGTATTTCTTAATTATTTTCCTTTTGTAAGTTTTTTACATAGAAATGAAAACAATTGTTTTCATTTCTATGTAAAATTTTATTATTTTAATACTTTCACCATTCAGTTTATTAAATTTACCTGCGAGTCTTTCGTGGACGATATCTCTAATGATACACAAATATCTTCCTGCTTATTTACTGTGTCTTCCATAACATCGTCTATCTTCTCTTCACCCAACCTAATATCCAAATTAGTCATAGTCTGAGTTGCAGGTACCTGAATCTCAGACTTGTACGCATGCGTGTTTAAAACAGCCTCGCTAGGCTTCTTCTCGTTCATCATCGTCGGACTTCGATGCCTCGTTAAAACACTATGTATCTTGTCGTTGTATGCGAAGAGCGAGTTCGATTTCGCTAAACTGGAACTAAATAAAAATGCGAATCCAATTAAGACGATCGATCATAAATGAATAACACATCTATATTTTTCTCGTTTGGAAAATAAAAATTAAAATAAGATACAAGATGATAATTATAAAAGAAAACATGAAAATGTTATTAACATTCGCCTACCTGTTGTTGAGAAACTTGTCGTCTTCATCAAAAAGACTTGTAGGTTCCTCCTCCTCATCTTCCCGCTTGGTCGCATATCCAAAGAGATCGGTCGCAGCTCTTGCAAGATCGGACTTGAGAATTGGATGAGGTGCGTGTAAGGTCGAGCCGATCGTGCAATCGGCTTCATCTGGATAGAGTTCATCTTCGTCGGTAGTATACTCCTCGTCACCAGTAGTACCAGTACTTCCGGCTCTTCGGTGTTTCGTTGTCAATGGTCGATAGGCATACTCGTTCGAGGAGGCGGACACCGACTCGTTGGATTCCATCGATTCCGGCTGCTGTTGCTCCTGTACCGCCTTCATGGCGTCTGGATATTACTTTATCTCTTTTCGATCTGCAACTTTACTAAAATAGCACAACCATTATTTATCTTTGTGATAAACTTAGAACTTTTTATTTCAATCATTATTAAGCTTTATCGACGATAACATAATACGATAAGTGCTTGACGAAGTTGATATCAATTTAATTATTCGCATCGATGATCGAATTTCCTTCTGAAATAAGAGAGAATCTATTTACTTATCGAAGGATGGATTATTACTTGGAGAAGAAGTAATATCCCAAATTGATGTTTTTAACGACGATGACTCGATACGTCGAAGGAATAATTCATCATTCGTGACAGGACGTTGAGGGCGTAACGCATCGCGTGACACGGATCCACGAAATCAACAGAGACTGGACGTATCCGGCTCGACTATTGCATACCAGCGTGCTATGCACAATGATGCACCGTACTATCATCGACCTAAATATTTTGAAACTTTCTCGAACCATCTCTGTCAATATGTAATATAATTTGCCATTTTAAATGTAGATCTACGTATTTAATGGAAAATGATCTCACATGATCATAAAAATATTCTATATTTAATTTCGATAAATTTTTAAAATTCGTAACGAGTTAAAATTAAAAAATATATAATATAAAATATGCTGAATAGATATTCGAACGTAGAAATGTTCAACCAACGTTTTCAATAAAAACCTTCGCATTTTGCCCTAATCAGCGTAAACGAATACCATGACCGAGATATTTCTTGATCGTTCGCGCGAATTGAGTCGAGCTGAATTAAGAGACTCGAAGTGGAAACCTCGATCTTTCGTTCCCTTTGGCGAGATCTCTTGAGCCTCTTCTTCGCGATCTACCAACAGACAATGTAGCCAAAGCAAGTGATGTCGCTTGCGTCATGTCAGTCGCTCAGTCGCATTGCATAAACGGTACTTGGGAATCGGCCGGTCATCGCATTCCTTTTCCCCACACTCTACTCCAAATTAAGTCAATTAAGAAACCAGGCGTAGTTAATTTTCTCTCGTCTCTCGTCTCTCGTCTCTCTCTCTCTCTCTCTCTCTCTCTCTCCATCGTCTTCACCGTTCCATAATTGCCAGTACGTTTTTACGTTCTACGAATTAAAAAAAAAAAAAAAAAAACAATATTTTCATTCGTAAAATTAGTACTAGTTCTATTTTATCGCAAAAATTAATTTTATATATTATTTATAAATGAACATAAAGACATCATAAAATAACAAGAGGAAGCTCAAAATAAGGACACAGCTTAATCGAGTTTTCCACCGTTGGTTTTAATTCGCAACAATGAATACCGCGTATTTAGATTGTTACGCTTGATGCTCAAGGCGGATCTGATAAATACGTTCTATTTCTTCCATTTCTTGGCGTTGATTTAACGAGTTGTGCTAATCGATCCTTGCTCGTTGTTGGCACTGTCTCGTTGGTGAAAGGTTTACCTTCTTAAATAGCTTATCGATGATACCGACAGAAATTTCGTTTCTAGTTCGTAACTGCAATAACGTAGGCATTACTATGTCCAGAACTGTCGCGACAATCGTTGTGCTATTATCGATTATCGCGTCTCTGTTTTCATTTTATGGATTTTAATCAAACTAATTGGATCTTGGCAGAAAAGCAAGTAACAGCCACTTTCTCGATGTGAGCTTTGATCTTTATTTATTCTCACGATTAAATCACATTCAGAGTTCAGAAAGAAATTTATGTAAATCAATCGTAAGAATCTCATTAATTTTTAATCATATATCCTTTCAATTAACTCGATACAGTCTCTTCTTTCTCTTTATAACATTACTAAGGAAAGAATTTTCACTTCTGTAGAATTAATGATAATCTAAAAACGTTTCCGGTTATTGAATTCTTTGTTTCTAGCGAAACAATCAAGTATCAAAGTACGATGTTTCCATTAACATTAAGAAAGAATCAATGTTTTTCCGCCCACGTGTCGTTTCAAATAAAAGAACTAAAATACAAAGTTCACCGATCGTTACGAAGTGAAAAAATTAACTTGATATTATTTTCTACGAAGACTTTGCTCGATTCGTTTGTTCACAAGTAAAATGTCATGTACGAAAGGCAAAGATTAAGTCATCGTTGAGTGAGCGCGAAGATTGAATTAAAACGAAGAAAATTTTATTTGAACAAACGGTGAGCTCTTAGTTGTTGAGATTCATTCATTTGAAATTCCTTTACGCTTGGTGAAGCAGCCAACGCAAAGATGCATTCGAATGCATCATTCCCCATAGGAATTCAATTATTTTAATCGAAACAGTTACGTCAAACTATGTTGATAGATATTTTTGAAACGGTACATTTTATCCTTCTTACAGTTCATTATTTCTAACGGTACACGATACTAAAAAATTAACTATTGATTTTAACATATATATTTACATATTAAAGCGATCACGTAAAATAAACGATTTCTATATCTAAACTCGTCCACCTAAAATACTCGTTGCTTGAGAAAAAAAAAAAAGAGAAAGAGAAAACATTTCAATTTATCCTGACGTTATCGTGATAACTCAAACGGAAACGAGCGTCGGTATTGTAGTATGTACGGGTTGATTATCTCACGTTTACCACGAATTTTTCAATCAAGAGAATCTTTCTACGTTGAAAATTCACTTGCACGACGAGCGGAAAGGAAGACGAGCGGGAAGCGTGGAAAAGTGCAGAGGTGTTTCGAATTGTAAGAGTCTGTATATGTATATCCTTGGCTTCGTCAAATGGGACGTTCACGCGAACATTGCGTCACGGTTCACATCGCGATCGCACGCTGGAAAGCGGCGAATGGTACGGCCGGGTACACCGTATTTGTAATGACGCTGCGGCATACCACTGACGCTCCATTCACGCCCATACACTAGCAGATGATAAAGCCCAGTTTCTCCTGCTCTCTCTGACAAAGGAATCCCGCCAAACGCTAATTTGCTTTCGAGCATCCCGTCTCGAGCACCACTCGACTCTCGCCAGCGTGATATGCTGATGCCGAACCCTCGACTCTTGCTCCACTTCATAACGCTGACTTTAAATCGGTTTCTATAAATTTAAAGTTTTTCAAGAAAATTATATACTGGATTTAGATCTTTGTTTCGTTTGTGATATTTAGATTTTCTGGTAAATAATATATCTTTTTATAATCAATCTATTCTTATCAGAAATAATCTTTCATTGTTAGGCACGATACAGTTTTGTAAGTACGAGACGTTTGATTTAATGATTAGAAGAAAATAATTCGAAAAATGATTTACAGTTAAACTCTCTAAATCTAAAGATTATAGCAACAACAACGTGACTATGTTTTCAAACAAATGAAGAATTCTTGTGGGCTTTGATCAACATAATATAGTACTTAAAAATCTTGCTAAAATGTATTCATAATCGAACCATTATAGTATGCGAGAAGTGAAATATCTCTCTGAATATTTTTCAAATAGATAAGCTTACAGCCTACACAAAACGAGAATTCGAACGAGCCACTCCAAAAATATCTTTCTTATTTCTCCTTTCTCTTCCTCGACGAATATATATGCATATGTATGTCCCCACCTCTATCGACCTTCGATGCTTTCTTCTGAGAATTTCTATTCCCGGTAACTTCGTCATATTCTTAACTCGAATTCTATATACACAAATTGGTATAACTTTGTTAACTTCGTTCTTCGATATACGTAGATGATTTTTCACAGAATTTTCTCATCTACGTTGTTCGAAACATCATGTTATTATCTACGCTTTCATCGTAGTGCAAATTATCATTGTAGCCGTACTCAACGCATTATAACTCCTATTTTTCTCTGTGGAACAATAAAAGTTCACTAGTATGTGCCATGTTTAGATATTGCTTTTACCATACATATAAATTGAACCTGACTTGCATATATATTATACAAGAACGTCGTTTTGTCTGTTTTTATTTGGATAAAAATTATTCGATTTATCCTTGACGCTAGGAAGTTATCTGTTCGATCAACATTTTACATTTGACGTCATGGATATTAAGCAATTTAACATTTGACGTCATGGATATTAAAATTTGAAACACCAATATTAAATGTTTCAATAAAAAATGTATTGATCTATTAAAATATACATGCTTTTAAACATAAAGCAATATGAATTTATTTAAATCACATTTCATAGCCAGTTTTCACTATTAGCCAGGCTTTGTTATAACGAAGTACGAACTCGTTTATACATCGTTCTCATTCCGCGTTACTTTCTACGAATAATTGGATCACTCGTCTATGTATGTGTAGAAATAAATTAACTTCACTGTCTTTAACAAGATCTTGGCTAGTATCGATGGAAGTTCATATGAATAGAGAGTTCCCAGAATATACGGCCCTGGCCTTGCACTCTGTCACGGTTACTATACATTGGTTTATATCTCCTATACTCAGAAACCGTTTAAATTATCTACACTGACGATATCACAAAAAATTAAACGAAGTTTTGCATAAATAGGGATAAGTGTCTACTGCGCATTTAAAATTCATTCATTACTAAATTAATTAATAATATATTACGCATATATTTCTTGAAGGTATAAAAAAAGATATATATATATATATATGTCAAAGAAATAAAAGATCCTTTATAAAGAGAAAAATATATTTTTTTTAATATTCTGCGAATTGAAATAAAAGTAGACAAAGCAATTGCGAATAATAAAGCCTGCTCGTCCGACTTTAACAAATACGTCGTGAATCCTTTTTGTGTCAAGAGAAATTTGACCGTAGCCCGCCGAGCAATTATAATTAGAAGATTACCGCAACTCTATTCATTAGCAGGTACTTTTCGACTGAAAGCAAGGACTTCCACTTCGCTGTACCTCCTCCTACTCTTCGAGATAACGTTCCAGAAGAGCTAACGAGCACAGTTTCGAGCTCGTGCACTCGCTCAAGCCGACAAGTGAGCATACACAGTATGAAGTATACCTGTACGAGCTACAGGCATCAAAGGAAGAGAAAGTAAGTACACGAATATTCCGCGCTCTTTTCTCTATTGTTTCTCTCCATTCGAACTTATCTCACAACTCATCGCTCGCAGCATGCGTAATCCTTGAATCATTCAATGAGATTTCGAGAGATGAAACACACTGATAACGAACGTCCCCAAATGACATCGAGAAAGTTTTAGAACGACTTATTGTCAATTAGATAGCATGCTTTCTCTCTCTTTCTTTCTTTTTTGTTTTTTTTTTTTTATCCATGAGAACAATTTCACAATGCCATCACTTTTTACCAATAGAATTTTTGTTTTCAAACGATACCTGTCAATCCTCGACTTGAATGATAAGAAACGAATGAGACATTTTTCAGTGAAAGGACCAAATCAACAGCAACCACTTGATAACTGATACGATTCGTATTTTGATATAAACTCACGGTATGATAGATAATCCGCCTACGAGGACGGCTCGCCGCGGACTGACCATACGTTCTCTTTCCACTTGGCCCATTGTCAGCTAGCAATCTTTACTACCCCTTCCACGATGCATTCTCATAGATTCTCTTCATCCACCTGCTTCTCCGCAAGTACGACAGGGCTGCAGAATGTTAGTACTCTAACAGTCTTTTATATTATTTTTAATTCTGACTATAAATGATATATAATTATGGACTCGAAAGGATTTATCTTACTTATTATTATACGTTATTTACATTGCAATAAAATATTATTCGTAATTAAATATGTAACATAAATTATCTATTGTTAATATGGAATTTTTATAAGCGATAATAATCTTTTTATCGACGATATATGTATTTAGGTGTTTGACAAAAAAGCATGTATGTTCAAGAAATCAAATAAAAATTCAATAAAATGACAATATGAATTTCAATTTTTCAAAATAAAAATGTTTATCGAATATTTCTTAAATTATATATTCAATTTCTGTATAAATAACAGTATTTTCTTTTTCGAAATGTAAACATAATTGCAATTGAGAAAATAAGCTTCGATTCTCCCCCATACACTTCAAAGCTATAAATTTGTACGATAATCTCCGAATCCATTAATATGTCGGCTTATGGATCTCATCGTTCTTATCTAAGCTCTCGACCTAATACAACTGATTCGTGCCAGACAGTATCGACAGGTTAAACCGAAAATTAATGAACGGTAAATGTTACACAAATATTAATTCGATACTCTCGTTTGAACTCGTTTTTTTGACTCGTTGAAAAACAACGAGGACACTTTTCACCGTCTCTTTTATACCATACTATATTCTATGAGAACAATTGGCCTCTATCGAACGTGTTCAACACTTGTTCGTACGATTACTATAGAACCGGTAATAGAGGCAAACGGGGTGACACATTAATCGTGTCGTCCGTAATTCAACTTAATAAGTCTCAATGAGATAAACGTGACCCTTGTTATAATTTTATGACCGGCCTGTTATTACCAGTCTAATAACGTCATTCGCCATTTCTCTATCGTGAATTGTATTTGTCTTGCTGAGAGAAAACTACGAAAAAAATAATATTTTTCTTATTTACATCATAATATTTACAATTACGACAAATGAATGCAATATATTGTTTATAATTATATGTAATATATATATATAATATTTATATATATATATATATAAATTTACATATATAATATATCCTAAGAGGGAATTGTGAGAAAGATAAAGACCCATTAAAGGGGTCCTTCAAACATTCCTAATGCGAATTTTTCAGCTCGCTTGCGTCCCTGAGATACACGGCGAACGTGAGAAAGGTTTCTCCGTACATCCTGCTTACACTTTGTGAACACATGAAATTCCTATATCTGCAGCCCTGCAATTCCACGGAGGTTCTCTCTTATGGTGTATGCACTCGCACACCATCGAACTTTACCTATCGTCTACCGCAGGTATCAAATAGACTGGTGTAAGTAGCGTAGTAGTAGTACACACACTCTCTCACAAATTACATATGAAAAGGCTTGCACGCATTCGTGTGAATCTGTGGTTTTCTACTGGGTGTACGACTAAAAAGTGATGGGTGAAGTCAAGATCCTTTAGGGGAATAATATCAATCGAGAATGTAATACTAACTTATACGACATTAAGAACATATATATGTTCTTAAACGTTTCGTCCTTCTACATTATTCACCATTTTCCTCTCATCAATTTCCATCAGACTACACGACTGACAAGGAAACCGGATCTGATACATTGTTACTCGACTCGACACGCCTTATTCTGTTTTAATATATGATCATAAGAAATCGCGAGTAGATAATATAAAGTACTCGTAAGTAAATAGATATATTATACATAACGATATCATTTAATTTACCAAATATAATCTTTTCTCTATCATAAATAATCGATACTTTTATCCTTTAATATCTGTTATTTTTTTCATACTGAACGAAAAGTAAGATCTTGTAATATATTAGCATATAACCGAATATCAAACTTTGAAACATTATGTAGGTTAATTAAAAATCATCCGATTACGCAAAACTTATATCCAAGGAAATTTCGTAGAAATTTACCGTTATAAATATAATACCACATATAAAACTCTTTAATAATAGCATCTTAACTTACTTCTATCAATGATAAAGAATTTTTTTATTATTAAAAAACTTTTTCTTTTTATTTTCATATAATGAAATTAATATACGTTTTTATCTGGTAGAAACTGAATCGAATGTTCGAAATCGAATCGAATATTCAAAGATGCTTCGAATACCACATCTTCCAGCTTTCCCTATCAATCGAGTCTCTGGCATTAAGGCGATTCATCGTGAAGTTGTTCCCATGCACGAAGTCCCATGAAGCGTTTTCGTGATGGAGAAGCATCGTTGGCTTCCCTCTTGCAATCGCTATCGTATGATCCTACCAACGATCCAGATCGGTTCAATCCGCTCAAGAACGTTAACTTAATCGGAGCTTATCTCTACGACTCTAGTAATACGATTCTCATTCGAATCACCCAAGGGAATGAGACCTCGAACAATTTTTGTCTCTTTATATTTCGATATTGTTATTTATTTATAGGAAAGGGAAACGGTATTCCATATAGAAAGTCTTCAACAAAATAAGTATCTTTACTAATCATGTGTCCAGAATAAGAATCAAGATAAAAGTTCATCATGTTCGTCGATGTAAATGTGAAAAGTGTAACTTTCGAATCTTGTATAAAACATCAAATGTGTATAAATCATATCGTAGAAATTGTTACTTGTTAATATGTTCATGATTTTGTAATAATGTTTTCTTTTCTTCTAAACGAATGCGAACAAACTACTTCAGTCAGATGATTTTAATATTTGAAAAATAGCCATACAAAAGACTATATAAAAAAAAAAAAAAACTATATATTATTCACTATCTATAATACAAACGCAAATACAGCCATTATCAATTGCTAGTCTAACTTCTCGTTAACGTAATACTAATAGCTTTAAACGGTAAAAATATTTAAAGTAGAATGAAGTAGGAAGCGATTTTTACGTAATTATATAAAGAAAACTATCCTAGAAACATTTCAAATGGGGGACTACTTGGGACACAAAAGATATTCCTTGTTAAAGTTAAAGAACATTGAAAATTACTTGTGTTTCATTAAATATTATGTACAGTAATCGTATTTAGAAACTGTTGTTTCTTGATGAGGAAGAATTCTTTCTATTTTAGAAAAAAAAACGATAAGATAATATTCAAGGTCATCTGAATATTATGAAAAAAGAAACATATTTTTCAATGATGTCAAAAGAAATATTTAAAAAGTTAAATTTTAAATGTTACAACTATAATTTGTATTTAATCTTATTAATTTTTCAATTTTTAAGATCCATGGACGTTTAAGAAACAATATAAATTTAATAAATATCGATATGGAAAAATTTATTTTTCACCAAAAATGTTACAAAAATTCTTGATCCATTCTGACAAAAGTATCGGGTCAAAAAACTATTGAAGTTAGCTTATAGGACACGAATTGCACCTACCGATCGACACATACACACGCACACTATTATAATCACACTCTTTATTTTAGTAACAAAACAACATCCGGCATGCTTTTAAGAATAAAATGTCGTCGCTCAACACACGACTTCAACGGTATCGCCTCATTCGCCGAACATCCGGCGCTATCAATATTCTTTTGTTTATAATGATTAAATTTTGGTTAGCGCATTAGATTATCACGACTTGATATTACCATTGACAATTTCCGCTTTTACATACGTGTACATAAAAATGTATTTTAAATATAAAAAATAAAAACGAAATGCGATAACAATGGAAAATTTCGTGAAAATCTTATATAAATAGCTGCGTTAAACAAACAATGCTCTAAATTCTTTTTAAAATGTCTCACACTAAAATGCTTAAATACTTGTCGCTTAAATATATCTAACTAGCATTTACGTCATTCGTATTAACCATGAAAATATTTAATTAATCGGGTTAACGACAATAAAGCATTATCTTTTTTAAGAAAAAATCGAAATTACACGAGAAATCTAATCGAATTTTTTGTATAATGCACGTTTCACAAATTTATCACAAATAAGGTATTTTGGATAACATTATAAGCCTTTCATAATATTTCGAGATTAAAGAGATTTGAGAAATCTGAAGCCTGTGAATTTTTTCAATGGCACAATCACGTTTGAAAAGCCTATGCACGACACGTGGGAAGATACGAAATGTATGGGAAACGATAGCCGTCTATTTGCGTGCAATTTCGTCATTGTAGCCTTCTCGTTTCGACATCTTCGACCCCAAGCTAGATTAAATAAAAACTTAAAAGACGACAACATTGATATCATAAACATGCGATCATGTTCATTCTTTAACGTTTAACTATGAGAATGTTCTTGCTAACATTGTAAAAAAGTGAACGTGTGGTTATATAACGATCATCTTATTTATTACTAGAATTACTAGAGTAAAAATCCTGTGCATATTACCATAAAAAATAATAATCCTTTTACATACTTTTAATATTTAAATATCTAATATTCATAAATTATTAATAACAAGATTATCATATTTTTGTCTCTCAAAAATTTCGTTTATATTACACAGAAAATATGTTCATATAAAGATATGTGTAATACATCACGTATCAAGACATAAATCTAATCATCAGGTCATAGGGCAATTTAAAAGTATTGAAGAAAAAGCAATACGAGTGACGTAATTACTAACATTATCAAAATCTATTTGAAACAAAATACATATGCCGGAAAGAATAATGAAATTCTACGAGAGAGAGAGAGAGAGAGAGAGAGAGAGAGAGAGAGAGAGGAGATAGGTGTACCAGGTACGACGGTACGAACGTAAATGAGACTCAAGGTTAATACCCATTGAGCCACAAGAATGCAGGAACGCAACGAAGAAAGAACACTTTCATATATAACAACAAAGATAAAAAAAATTCAATATTATGATTCTGATGAATAAAATAATTTACTTTACAGTATTAAAATCTTTCGCTGCTATAATTTCCTAGAGACATTATCACATTTTAGAAAGTGTTTCATAAATAAATATAAAAATACTAATAATCTCGTCGTAAACCAAAAGTTACTAGCATGAAATTCTTTCTAAAGTAATTTTACGAAAAGATGTAAAAGTTATTACAGCAAGATATTTCGCCATAATAAAAAGTGACAGAAAACTTGAATAAAATAATTTGAACAAAAATTATTCCTCAATAACAGATAATAGTGTATGAAATAAATAATAAATGTATATATATATATATATGTGTGTGTAAATGATATATATAAATATATAAATGTATATGGATATGTATCTGCACGCAATTGCACGTGACAATAAACGCTGACATCGACAAAACCGACAATGAGAACGAGGACGATATGGACAAAAGATTCTTCTCAAAATCGAAAAAAAAAAAAGAAAGAAAAAGAATGATTCACGATTCCACTATGATAAGCGATTATTTTACGACCTCTTTTTTTTTTACCTTTCTTTGAATCTATTTCAAAAGGAATTATCATCGTCCCGTTGATTACATACACGTATATACATACATACATACACATCTGTTAGTGTATAGAAAAAGGCAGGACGTAATCCTGAACAGTATCCCGGGGATCCGGAGGGCCGTAAGCGAGTAGACACGCGCATGCACACGCGTACGCACGCTCTCACGTTTCTCCCGGGCCGTGACCCGACTGCGCACGAGCCGCGGAGAATTCCATCGTGAAAAGGGCTTCACGTGTTACAAGCACATACTGACGACTCACATACAACACGAAGAATCGTGCATACACATATTAAAGAAGAAATAGAAATACATACATACATATACGTACATACATGCTATTAGTCGAGTGAAAGAAGGTAATTGCCCGACAAACAAAGCCCAGCCAAGACAATACACACGTCTCGACATCCAAAATAGTTTTCTTCCCTTTTAACGAGCTCCTTCCCATTGCTGTCTCCCTGTTGGTAAGTGTAATCTTTGGATCTTTTATATGAAAGAAAACACGTTATTGCAAATATACGAAATCAAGTGCGTTCCATGAAAAGCAAGTTACATCCGTTTATAAACATCGACGATTTTCTTTCATTTTTAATATTATTTTTTCTTCGTCACTCCGACTACATCGCATCTTCATAATATAAGGAATCGTCGAATGTGCTGACGCAACAAAAATATCAACAAAAATATCCGTTAAAATCATTTCATGTACACGTGTACGTTCGTTAATTAAATGACGAAGATTTCTACATTGTAACAATGGAAATATTGTAGACAAGATGATATATGTCGTTTCGATATATCCTCTTGAATAATTCATACGCAACGTCATCTTTCTTATCAACTTTTAAGAAATATTAATTAACGAAAGTACAAAATGTACGCATAAGGATTTTTATATTTATTTTGATAAATGAAGAGAATAAAAACGAGAACAAAACGGTGTACATATGATACAGGTGAAAAAAACAACGATTTTGGTAGATAAGTCTACCTCTAATGACCGTAATGTTTACGCACGAGTGCAGATAAACACGATTCTTTCATGAATGGCGTACATACGCAAAATAAGAGAAACAGAAAAAAAAAAAAAGAAAAAAGAGAGAGACGAGAGAGAGAGAGAGAGAGAGAGACAGACAGAGACAGAGAGAGAAAGGAAAGGAGTACCGGGAGGGATCTTTGCCACGATGACCAAGTATTTTTATGTGAACGTAGGGATACTATCGGGGCTTTATGAGTTACGAGTACGGGAAGTTCTCCACTTACTAACACATAGACAACAAGAGCGGCAGCAACGACCGTGGAACCTGTCGTACCGGTTTCCAACTGGATTCCGCTCTGTCGTGCGCATTGATGGCATAAAGAATCTCGTGAACGGTGTATTCCTCGATCCTGACCGATCGAGATCCAATCGAGAGTAGATCAAGTACCGATCCTCCCACTTTAAATCCTACCCCATTCGTCTAATTATCGATTACTTTGATTCTTACTCAAACTCGAACGACAATAGACAATTCCGATTAACCAAGCTTACTCTCATTAAGCTTAATTCACTACGCTCTGATTCGTTGCGAACTTTTCCTCCCACTTTTTTTTTCTTTCTTTCTTTCTTTCTTTCTTTCTTTCGTGGCACTCACAGAAAAATTCGTTCCAAGATATTTTTTAACATTATTTTCATTCGGCGACATTCGATTAACGTAACACTCAAAGTATTAATTATAAAAGCAACGGTGCAAGCCATTAACTATCATTATTAGCGCCGTCATTAAGTAATAAGCCGATAAACAAAAGCATCTGCAATTATCCCGCTCTAATATTTTCATCGATACAAAATATACATATATATTACATACTACATATATATATATATATATATATATATATATATATATATACATATAGATAGGTATATATTTACGTACTAGGTATACGTATATACTTATTATGTGCTTTCCTCTTCTATTACGTACGTGTGAACGCGATATTGTTTTAATTTTTCTGAAGTTATTCATTCTTCTTCGTCATCATTGAAGCGATGACGGAAAGTCGAACGTGACAGAAAACACGTTAAAAAAGATCAAAATTAACGAATGTAAATGAATCATTATTACACTCTATCATTAATTTCCTTCTATTTAAACTTCCTTTGATCGTTATTCTTGGCATGGTGTTGTACATTGTACATTGTAATTGCCGTCGAAAAAAAATTCTTTTAAGTTCTTTTAAAAGAAATCCTGTTCAATTCTTGTCCATTACACTGTGCATGTATTAATAATTTCTACATTCAAATGAAAGAAAAATGATATACAAGAGCAATATTTTTTATTCAAAATAAATAAAAAAAGAATAACAAATATATTAACTCGTAAGATAGTATCTATATCATGTTTATATTCTGCTTTGTATTCCATGTAATGTGGATTAGGAATATTCGTTTAAATATAGTGACTATGCATATTTTTAAAAGTCGAACTATTGCACACAAATAAAAATTCGCTCGTGAAAAAATATTCGTTACAAATTGAACAAAAGAGAACATGAAGCTTTAGCGCTAGCTCGGAAAAACAAAATGTGTTCTCTTGTTTTAATTAAAATTTTATTTAAGGTATATGTACATTAAAATTTATGTTTCAAGTAAACGATCGATCAACAACTTACAAAGGCGTGAGTACGTGCGTATAGCATATTCCTGTAACATATGTGTACACAGACTTGTTACGAAGACGGAAATCCACTTTCAATCGCTGGAAAATTTACCGAGCTCTGGAGAAAGTCTTGATTATCTTGAAGAATTAATTTCCTGATAAGATGTAGAATTAATATAGAAAAAAAAAAAAACAGTGAGATTGAACAAGGTCAACGAACGTTTATATATATAAAACGTTTTCATTATTAATACGTTACGGGAGTACTCGATTTCGTAGATTTTATTAAAAACATTTTTAATGTTCGTTCATTAATATTTAATTCCAACTAATTTAATTCTATCCGTAACAAGAATAAAAATTTATGAAATAAAAGGAATTTGGAAAACATGAAATGCCTCGTGAATCAACAAACGATAAAATCATTGAATTGAAATCAAAATAGAAGAAAATTTTAACAAATTGTACTACTTATGTAGGTCATCATAGCTAATTTCGTACCAAATCATATGATACGTTCATAGTTCGAAACTTACAACCTTATGATTTCTCTTTCGCGTACGATAACATTCACTTTGCTCGAAGTGAAAGTCGAATTATTCTACAGTGCGATATAGATGGTGTACCGATGACATCTTCGCGGGCGATTGACGATAAAGAATTCGTTTCGAAAAGCGTTCGTTTCAACGATAAAACATAAAATAATATTTTAATAACGTTGAAATAAAGCTATGAAATAAGTACGAAAGAAAAACACAAATAGATACATCGGCAAGTTAAAAGCACGTATCGAATTTTATTATCTATCGTTAATTTAAAAGCTACATGAGTAGAGGTTACTTAATGTAATAATATATTGAATATATAAAATATATACCTGCAATTTTCTTTGAAAAGAGTGAAAAAAATTGAAATCGATAGGTAAGAAAATCGAAAAACTAAACAGAATATTAATGACATATGATACTACGATTTATTTCAATAATAGTTAGTCAATGTTCGACAAGCCATAATGATTAACAAGATATATATTATGTAATTACTTGTACATTTAATCCATCAATAAAAAAATCAAATATCTATAAGTCGATACTAGAAGGTCTTCGAACGGTCCCTTCAGAATCGTTTCTAATTCGCTCTGTTACCCATCGTAATTTTTATTACGAAGCGAGTAGACGGATTGTACTTTCTCTCGTTCTAAAAATCCTCTCAATCGGTTGATCCGTGCTTGTCGTAATTTCTCGCGTTTGAATCAAAGGACAAACGATGCAACTCATTGTCAGTGAAAATCGTTTTGAAAAACGTTACACGACGTACGAATGAATTAATTATCTTCTTGCCATTTCGATATTCATAGCTCGTAACACTGTGTCTCCCTCCCTCTGTCTCTCTCTCTCTCTCTCTCTCTCTCTTTTTCTCTCTCTTGTTAACGAACTCCCTGGTTCGTCGTTTCAAAGAAGAACGATAAATTTATTTTCATGAAATCACACTCGGCTTCTGCCATTAATCAATGACACACCGAAATAACTTTCGTCGGCAAAATAAGTTCCCCGCTTTTTTTCTTTATCTTTTTTTGAATTTCTAAAAAAGGACGATTGGAAATATCTGTACGACGAATAAATGCGTACACGTACGTACGTATATACGTAGATCGCTTTCGTGCGATTAGAAAGCATGGAGAAATCTCTCGATCCTCGCAACAATCGTGATTACACTTGAAACGTTACAGCAGTCCTTTTTTTGTTTTTGTACGATTTAAAAGTTACGATTTAAATCAATAATATATCGCAAAAACAACTATTGACGATCCTAGAGTGCAAGGACCTCTCCTGTCATACATATATATATATATATATATATATATATATATATATATACCACTGTGTATACTGTTATAACGGGATCAAGCATCTCCCACTTTATTTTTCACATGACGCCTCTGGTTATGAGGTGGCTTCGTGATTTACTGTTTACCAAGCAGCGGTTGCTGCTCCCTTTGTAAAAATAGAATTTTATTCTTGATAAGGTAAAGGCCGTCCTACGCATCTTCATTCCTTTGAAATCCGTTAAAAAATAGAGAGAGAGAGAGAGAGAGAGAGAGAGAGAGAGAGAGAGAGAGAGAGAGAGAGAGAGAGTGAGTGAGTGAGTGAAAGATACAGAAATAAAATAGAAGGAAAGAACGCGTTGAGACTTTCAAACGAGGAATTTTCTGTATTCGATTATCGTTCGAAATAGCTCTTTCTCTTGCTTGACGATTTCTTTCGTTCTTCGATTAAAGATTATGATGCTTTCGAATCGTAGAAATCTAACACTTAAGCCTGATAAAAGATCAACTCGAGCGTGTTTTAAAAAATATCGTCTAAGAATGTTTATTTCGAATCTGCATATACATGACGTATATATGATGGATATGGAATTTTAACGTTTCAAATTTTGGCTTTATAGTTAATTATAACGCTTGATATTACGACTAAGAAAAGCAACGTTTGCTATTTCAAGGATTATAGTTCAAGACGAAATCCTGATTCAAGTTAAGATATCAATGAGAACTCGTAAAATAATAATAACTCAAACTGTGTAAATTTACACAACGTCAAGGACGCTCGGAATAATCCTCCGTTTGTTGCATTAAGCTTTACCTATGATATTGAAAGAGACACACTAGAATATATGACGATTGACAGAATGGTAGAATTTTGCGATCAGATAACAACGTTCGATTTTCTCTTCTCATTGTTAGAAATGAAAAAAATTTTTTGAACTTTTCATCGATGCTCGTTATTTTAGAAAGTCAAGCAATTATTGAGGTCAAGGAGTAAATTAACGTGTCCTGAAGAAGAATGACAAAGCCATGAAATTAAAGAAATCATTATTTTTAATGGATGACCTATTTTTTCGAATTAGTTTCTTATCGCTCTACATTCAGTTTTCTACATCTGTTGTTCCTAAAATATCTATTACGTCAAATCTATGTCCGTTCCACTTTTCCGCAATAAGTAGGATATTTAAATTTCTTAAAAAAAAAAAAAAAAAAAAAAAAAAGTTAATTCAAGACACTTAAAACAAAATGAAAGTTATTTACTCAAGAGCATTTCAAGGCGAATATGTGAAAAAAATCATTGAAGTATGAAAGGAGCATTGAAACATTAGAAATCGAGATCGATATACGGAATAAACGATATTTCACGAGAGATATATACATACATACGTGCATACACACGTTTCGTTCCGTCTGAACGCTTCGGTCAAGGACTTGAAAAAGATCGGCGTAAATATATAATATAAATCGAAAAGTATTCGCAATTCGTCCGTTTACTCTCTCCGACGAGCGTCTTATTTATTCGTATTCCTATTCGTAATATGCGAAGAATGCTTGGCACGTTGATCGAGCGGAATAAAAAGATCGATGGACGAAATCGTATTGAAACGGAGTGAGTCGTTCAACCACTCATTCAACTACAATTGAATTGTCATCCCTTTCTATGTAAAACCTTCCGGTTCTCGATCCACGAGAGATTAGAAAGCTTCTTATACGGAAGTGCCTCGTGACACGATTTAACAGAGAAAAGATGTGAACGAGAGGAACGCGTTACACGATCGATCTTCTTCATTTCTTCGGAAAAAAACGGAGAAACAATGTTACGCTCGAACACGTGAAATCATTATGCCTTTAAATAACACGTTCCTTCAAAACGAATGCAACGAGAAAGAAAAAAAGTCAAACATTTTCTCTTTCTCTTTCTCTCTCTCCCTTCCTCTCTTTCTCTTTTCAAATTCCATATAACACGATTCGTGAAATTTTGTGAAAAATTCGCGTATCTTACTTTTTCAGAATATATGATGAACATCTATTATTTCGCAGCTATCAGACATGAGATAAATCAATCGTAAGAAAAGGGAAATCATTGTAATATGTGAAAAAAAGGGACACGGTGAAATATTAGGATATTCATTGATATTCCAAAAGTAACGACGCATTGCTCAAGGTAGTGAGCTTCTTTGGATCGTAACGAAGACCTACTTCGAGTGAATAAGTACGATTTATTTTCATTTTTTTTATTTGCGAAACTAGTATCCTATAGCGAATGTTTTTCTTTTCTTTCTTTTTTTTTTCTTTTTTCAAATGATAATCGTATTTTACGCAAGTTCAGAATTTCGATACTATCGCGCAAACATATCACCATCTTTCGTATGTGTTTACACTTTTAAGAAAGAAAATAGGAAAATCATGACAAGATGTTCATAAAAATTACAGAATTAAACCGATCGCATAAAGATCGAAAAGAATTATTAATTAACAACATTACGCATATATACATACATATTAAAAATTGTTTTATAATCTGAGGAATGTAATCGTAAGTAAAAACTAAGAAAAATGTCGTACAGCATCCGTCAGTTTTGATTCATCAAGACGAGAGCTAGTATCAGTATCGATCGGAAAGTTCGTTTCTAATAATGGGAGCGACCAGAAGACTTACGAGAAGATGTTCGTGATTCTTGCGGCATTGGCGTGGCTGCCACGCCGTAAATACACAGTACGATTACCAACTTGCGTCCTCGTTATTGGATCTTGGGAAAGATTGCTGACACCAGCACTCGCATATGTCAACCAACGAAAGCAAAGAAACACAATCAAAATTACATTCGCGATCCGCGACACGGGCCACGGACCACGACTGAAGCCTATTACAAGCTCTCATCGCCGCGAGACGCTTACAGCGCTTCTACAGGGAGAAATTGAAACTACCAATTAACAAATTGATGATCAGTCGATAATAAACTAAAAATAAATAAAAATTTTAACAAGTATTTTAATTTGAAAATACGAAACATATAAAATATTTTCAAGATTTCTTAACATTTACATTAATATTAAGATACTTTAAAAACAAAGGAAAAACCATCGTGAGATTAATTATATTAACATGTCCGACAAATATTTACACAACAACGTTATAATTATTTAAATCTGTAGAAATTTAATATTAATCTGAAGCTTTATGTTACCATCTTTTGCATTGTCTGAAGTAATCTTTTATGAAATAATTGTGGTGCTTGGAGTGCAAATAGAAAATCCAAATGAGTAAATTTTTTAAATGGTATCTTATAATTATCTACCAGATATTTTAATTCCTTCGATAATCGAAAAACATCCTAAAAAGAAAACAGAATAGACAATAAAGAAGCACTTTTTTTTATCATATCTAAATACAAATTACTTACCGTGACATCCGACAAAAAATCATTTTCGGCGTAATATAATATTATAGGTACCGAAATTTTAGATGTGTCATAATTAGGTGGTTCTGTGCTATTATAGATTTTTAGATTTTGCTCCGGTCCGTAATCATATTGCCGAAACTTTCCAGAAAATATCTCTTGATTATAATGATTTATTACCTTGTATGACGTACCAGCAGGAGTATGACCAAAAATTATAGGTAATAATGTCTAAAACGATGTAAAAGTTTAGTGTTTCTTTCTACATTTGTTTAACGAAATAAATATTGTTACAACTTACATCGTTAAATTGAGATTTATCAAATCCACTAATTATGTTTAATCCTAGTGTGCACATTTTATGTGCCATGATACCACTATCGCAAAAATATCTTAATAAAAACATTACTACATTGTTTAGTGGAAATACTTCACCTTTACTGAAGTTATGTAACATTAACTGTAAAAACATTTAATTTTTGTAAAATGTACATGATGTATATATATACACCAATATATTTCGAATAGATGAAAGTTAATATTATGTACCGACAACTTAGCTGTAATAGGAGTTATAACATTTATAGGACTATTTAAATGACTCATGTAAGCAACTGGAGCAAGACTAAACATTAACTGAACTTTACTAGCAATATTTGGTCTTAAGGAGGACATTATGTAGAATCCTGTTGATCCCATGGAATGACCAATATAAGTTATATTATTTTTTGTTAAATTTGTAATATATGATATCATTGCTGGTATATCATATATACCATGTTCATGAAAACTGAAATAAAAAAATTATGTAAAATATATTTTATAAATCTAAAATTTAAAAATAAAAATATTATTTTTATTAAATATATAAAAATCGATAAAAGGCGCGGTAATATCTTTCGATAGATGCGTGCATAAAAAAAAAAAAAAACGAAATGAAATAAGAGCAGGCGATTTGCGAGCAATAATAGTCAGTTGCAAATAATATTCCAAAAGAATAGAATTTGTAAATATCACTTTTCTTTTTTTATTATTTTTTTTTTTTTTTTTTTTTAATAAAATCTTAGAGATATATGAACGTATAAATATAGAAATACATACATACCTAAATTCCCAAAATTTAGAATCTGATGTTGACAAATACTTGTGCGCTTTTGAATAAATGTTACCACGATAATTACCAAGCCACACGTCATACCCATAATCAGCTAATAGAAAAGCTAAAACAAAATGGATATTTTTTAAATAAATGAAAACAATTTTTCGATAAACTATAACAACTTCTTGCGTGTATGCACCGTTTATATTGGAGAAAATTAAAATAATAGACACCTATTTATGACCTATTATATTATATATTTTAATTACACAATAGACTTCATATCGAAACTAATTAGGCAATTCGTTTAACATTACAAGCAAGACATCTTCATATTCATCAAGTGTTCAAGAAAGTGTTTTATAAAATTTCAGTAAAATTTTAAGACATTTCGTTAATCTTAAACTTTAAATTATTTATAATAAAATGAGAACAATCTCTTAAATCAAACATTAATCTGGAAAATATCATGATTCATGCAGAACTTCACAAACAGAATTTAGAAATTTCACTTATATCAAAACATTTTCACGAGGATTATGGAACCAGTATAGAAAAAATATTAATGTAATAGATTATCGCAATTTATAGCTTATTTGTCGCAATTATATACGTATAATACTGAAAAATGAAAACATTAAATAAAGATTTAATAATATAAAAATGAAACACACAATATATATATATATATATATAGAGAGAGAGAGAGAGAGAGAGAGAGAGAGAGAGAGAGAGATACCAAGAGAATTTTTTGGACCGGATAATACCCAATGAGCAGAACTACAAAATAGGCCATGTTGCAACAAAACGGGGGATGATTTAGATTTGCCCGGAATTCGATGAAGCGTCAAAAAATAACCGTCTTCCGTCGATATATAATGTGCCTCGGAAGGATAACCATATTTTTGTATTAGGGGTCCCTAAGAAAAAGAACAAAAATATGAAATAAAAATATACTAAATATTGCAGGGTTTAAAAAAAATAATTTTAAAACAGATAAAAAATAATATTTCTGTGAAATCAAAGAATTAATTCAGATAACTTGGAATTTAAATTTAATATAAGAAAATAATAGATATCTTTATAGTATAAAAGTCATGAATGTAAAAAAAAGAAATCTATAACTAAATAACAGACGATGTTATGTCTTTCTTTATGTAAATGATAAAATCAACTTTTATCTTCGCCAATTACTTAAGAAATATTTTAATTGTAAGAAAACTATAAAAAAAAATTATTATAAGAACTATTACAGGGAAAATGAAATTGATCGGAAAAAATAAAAACATTTACACTTACAGTGTCGAGATCAATGTCCGGATTATATTTTCCATTGGTTGCATAATTATCGTTAGATAAAATCTTCTTAAATATATTAAAATTTTGTAGTAAATTATTTTTCCTAGATGCAATTGAATAAACAAAAATGTGAATAATGAGAAAGTGTAAAAAAATTATTTTCATTTTAACCACGATATTTTCTATAGTGTTTCTTATTTTATTTTAACATATAAAAGTTTTATTAAAACGTCAAAAGATCTTTTGCTATCATACGACTAACATTACGCGTGACAAATGCTCAATTATAACATTTATAGCAGACTGAAACTTTTATAGATGCGTCCTCGTAATGCTTCACAAAAAAAAGAAAAACGTATTCTTTATAATTATCAAATCCTAATCACATAAATTATAAAATGTTAATATATATCACGGATTATTATAAAATGTCAGACACGTACTATGTAATATAATTTTGACAAGAAGAGAACAATGAACGCAGACGTGCCTATACTCCTGAATTTTACCACGGAAGATTTTGGTATCGTTTAAGAAACGTGCTTTGTCTTAAATTTTATTTACGTCAGCAGAACTTCTCTCTAATTAATAAATTTTACGCGAAACATTAAAGATGTCACATCTCAAGCGTTTATATAATTGTTTAAAATGTTAAAATATTACTATTTTTTATCAAGTTTATCTTTATATTAAAAAAAAATGGCAATATCTTATACATTGCTAGAATAAGAACTGCTATTTTTTATATCTATCTTGTAACTGAAAAGATCGATTATGAAATTATATTATTAATTAAATATTATTACACGTTGATTGATTTTATCTAATATTTCAAATGTACTTATCTTATCACAAAAATAGCATTTTATTATCGAATGGATGGAAAAAAATATCAAGATATTTCTAATTAACATTTATATGAAAATGAATACATATATCAAAAATAATATATGTATAGTTAAAACGATGCATGCATATTTAATTATTATTAATTAATTACTTACTTAATATTAATTAATCCCAATACAAAGACTGTATAAGTAAAAATTATAAAGAAATATTTTTATTGAGACATAATTTAATAATCCGAATATTATTTTTCTATGATAAGCTTTATTACATTCATAAAATATTTATATTTGGATAACAATTTTAACTTATGGACCTGCTTTAATTTTCCTCTTATAATAACAGAGATATATTTTTAATATTTTATCACTTAGAATTGAATCATTATCCTTATTATATTATATGGTAGAGAAAAAGAAAAGTGTTATGAAAATATTTAATTAAGTAACTAATATATTAAGATATTGGAGAAAACATAAAAACTTGTATACATCTGTCAATATCGGAAATGTTCCTTTTACTATCTTTATGCTCTATCTTTTAATGTATTTAATATTCTACTATAAACTAATTCCGGGGCATTTATAGCCCACATAAAGTCGATATGATTAAACTTTTCATATGGTATTTTGTACATATCAACGATGTTTTTTAATTCCATTGATATTTGAAGTAAATCCTAAAAATGTTAAAAAGTTATTGTAAAAACGGTACATTAATGAAAATCTATTGTAATTAAATATTACATACCTTAATATTAACAAACCAATCGTTTTCAGAGTAATAAAGTGCTATAGGTACTGAAATTTTAGATATATTATAATCAGGTGGTTCAATACTATTATAAATTTTTAAATTTTCCGGTGTGCCGTAATCAAATTGTCGAAACTTTCCAGAATTCACTTCTTGCAAATAATGTACAAATGTTTTAATTGAAGATCCAGCTGGCGCATGACCCAAAATTACAGGTAATAACGTCTAAAAATGAGCAAAATATTTGTATTAACAAAATATTCTTCTATTTATTTAATAATACTATAATAATATACTAACAGCGTTCATTTGAGGTTCATCAAATCCAGCAAGTAAAAATATTATGTTACGACATATTGCAGTTTCTATAGAAGTCATATCGCAACCATATTTAGCAAGAAATTTTATTAAATTATTATGTGGAAGAAATTCATTTTGACCTAAAAAACGTGCGAGAAACTGCAAAGAAAACAAAAAAATTTTTTATTCTCATAATATATATATCTCAATAAATTATGAATATAAATAATTAGTAAACATTACCTGTAAATCACGAGAAAAAGGGGCCAAAAATCGTATAGGACTTTTCATATGAGTCACGTAAATAACTGGGGCAAGACTAAACATCATTTGAACTTTATTAGCAATGTCTTGTCTCATAATTGACATTACATAAAATGTTGTTGTTCCCATAGAATGACCAATGTATGTCAAATTACTTTGTTTCAGATTTGTAATATATGAAATCATCGCTGGTAGGTCATATATACCCATTTCATGCCAACTAACGTACAAAAATATTCTATGAAATATTTACGTAAAATTAAAATTTTTTAACAGAAAAATATTATTTCAAAAGAATACCTAAAATTCCAAAATTTCGGATCTGCCGTTGACAAACTTTTATGTGCTTTTGAATACGTATTACCGCGAAAATTACCAAGCCATACATCATATCCTTCATCAGCTAATAAATAGGCTATACAATAAAGCAAAAATTACTTACGTAAATAATTATTCAACAAAATTTAACAGAAATTGTGATTCTATCTTAAAGGTACAATCTTCAAAAGTTTATAATAATTTTAAAGAAAAATAAAATTATATATACCAAGACCCTTTTTTGGACCAGAAATCACCCAATCAGCAGAACTCGCTAATAAGCCGTGTTGAACTAATATGGGATGTGATCCGGATTTTCCTGGAATTCGATGAAGTGTCAAAAAATAACCATCATCAGTTATTACAACATGTATTTCAGAAGGATAACCATATTTCTTTATCAATTTGTCCTGAAATAATCAGTAAAGAATTTAGATTAGAAACATAATCAATATTATAATGATTATTTATAATTTCAAAGCTTCTAAGGAATAATGTCTTTTTATAAAAAAAAAAATTGGGTAATTTATTAAATAGCCTATAATTAAGATTTAGTACGATACAAACAAACTCGAGCTATTATAACGATTTATTATTGCAAATGTATGATTCAAAATGTATTCTTTTTTTATTTACTAAATAAGATGATAAAATTCACTTTTACATCTAGATTATTAACTTATAAATCATTTATCGTTTACTCACTTATTATAAGTAAGAATTAAATTTACTAATAATAAAATAATTAAATAAAAAACTATTAAGAAGAATAGCAATCAAAAAATATAGAGATCACGCGTATTCCTTAAATTTTATTAATTTAGATAAACTTACTGTACTAAGATCGATATCCGGATTAGATTTTCTATTAAACTCAGTAGAATTATCGAGCGTATATTTCATTTGTTCATCATTTATAGAAATATTATCCAAGCATGCAACCATCTTGACAAGAATGCAGATGGTGAAGAAAAATACGAAAATTATCCTCATCTTAATAGCGATATGTTGCTTAGTTTTCTTTACTATAACTATACTCTTTATATAAATCAGTTAAAATCAAGGTCAGTAAACGTCAACAAATCTTCTGCCTTTGCCCGTTCAAAGATGTTACAACTAAGACGGCAAATATATTACTGTCGTATTAATCTCAATCAAGAGCGTTTATAGATATGAAGTCATATTTACTCAAAAGAAGCAAAGGAAAATAAACTTATTGAAACAAGAAAGAATTTACTGATTCTTCATTATTTAATCATTATCAAAATTTTCATATATTATTCATAATATTATTTTAAATTAATAATATTATCATTTTCGTTAAAATAAATTTGTCATTTTCGGTACAATAAATATCATTTTTAAATTGTCATTGTCGTTTTTAAAATAAAAGATATTTACTAAATTGATTGATATTTTTGTAAAGTATAATTTCAAGTATAAATTTAAATCTATTTATTTTATAATTATAATTAATAATCTTTATTTTATATGGTTATAAGGTACTTATAAAATTTATTTTTCATCGTGCGATTGTTACTACGTCAGCAAATTAGGAAATTTTATTATTAATAAAGTGAAAACTATCATACGATATAATGACGTTTTTTTTTCTCATATATATTGTAATATGTTTATACCAACTTTAGACGTTTCAGATTCACAATATCGTATAAATTTGATTTTAAATCGATTATAATGTAAGGTTGAAGATTAATATTACAAAATATTCTCTTCTTTGAAAATAAACATTTGACGGACCAAAAGCCATATACTAAATGCAGAGAAGATTTAGATTGTAATCCGCATTGAGATACTATCCTACTCTCGTATCAACTCTCGAAATCAAATACATTTCTATAACTATTTTACTATTAAACTATAAAACATTGAAAGAAATGATGGCAACATTTTCTAAGATCTAATTTTGAAAAGATTCACGTCGGAAAAATTTGACAGATTATTATCACTAATCGTGTTGTTTGAAATCAAATACGATTATCAAGATGAAAGAATTATTTGTAAATCATACTGTTAGATACTAATCAATAAAATAAACATTTATAATCCGTAACAGGTGTTACATTTCAATATCTAATATCTTCAACTTCAACATGTTTATTATCACAATGTACTTATAGTATTATATTAAACGGTTTATCGTTATTATCTAAAGCATTTAATCGATTCCATGGTATCCATTTATACTTAAATTTTTCGCGATAATGCTATGAATTCTCAAAAATAAAGAAAAATTTGTATTATTTCGAATTCCCGAAATCTATAAAATCGAATATTTATGAATAAATGAAAGATATAGATAGAATCAGAGAAAGATAAATATATTTTATTCCACTTGAATGTTTGAAAAATAAAATAAAATGATTAGCTTAAAAGATCACTTAGATGATTAAACAATAAAAGAAATATTTTATTGAGCATGTCATTTTTGTTACAGCAATATCATGAAAACCTCTAATCGTTACATGAAAAATGAAATTTTAGACATGAATATTAACATATACGAACAAATAAAAAATAGAACTTTCCAATATTTGTATTCCGTATCTAATAAACAATAAGTAAAATCTCATTACTTTAATTGTAACGAAATGTTTACAATGCCTCTCTCGATAAAAAAAGAGAGATATCGATCGAACAATTAAAGATCGATCGGTATCTATTTTTCTATTCGATTGATCATACTTTTTTCTATAATATTCAATGAAAATAAAAAATTTTTAAGTATAAACATGTATACTGTCGATTAATAATATAGACTACTTATGCGTATTTAATTTTATTTTAGTTTTTATATTATTATATTAATTATGTATATTTTCTAATACTTATAATAATTCTCATGTAAGTTGATTATTACAATGTCATAAAAATTTTAATGAAAAAAAATAAAAGCATAAATCTTTGGTACATCTATTAATATGTTTCTTTTACTGTCTTTATACTTTAGTTACCTTTCATTGTACTTAGTATTTTATCATAAACTAACTCCGGCGCTTCTATAGCCCACAAAAAATCTAGATGATTAAACTTTATATAAGGTATTTTATATTGTTTGATAACATTTTTTAATTCTCTTGACAATCTAAGAACATCCTAAAAATGGAAAGAAAATAGATATAAATATAATATTTTTAATTATTCATTGTGTTATTAAATGTTACCTACTGTAACACTCGCACACCAATCGTTATTGGCATAATATAATACTATAGGCACTGAAATTTTAGATGTATCATAATCAGGTGGTTCTACGCTATTATAAATTTTTAAATTTTGTTCTGGTCCATAATCAAATTGCTGAAACTTCCCAGATTGTATTTCTTGTGCATAATGTACCATTGTTTTAGTTGAAGCACCAGCTGGCAAATGTCCAAAAATTACAGGTATTAATGTCTAAAATACAATGAAAGATAAATAAATGTGTTTCAGTTTGTTTAACACACTAAATATTTCTGTAACATACATAATTAAACTGAGATTTATCAAATCCAAAAAGGGCAAATAATATATTGCTACATATTTTATGTTCCAAGATATTAATATCACAACCATATTTGGCAAAATACTCTATTAACTCATTATGTGGAAGAAATTCATTGTTACCTAAAATATCTATAATCAGCTACAATTAAGAAAAAGAATACTTTAGTTTATAAAATGTCAAAAAATTTTAGTACGTTTTCAAGTTTAAGAGAATAGTAAATTACTTTTAAATCATGTGCAAAAGGAGCTAGCAAACGCAGAGGACTTTTCATATGTTTCATATAAGCAACTGGGGCAAGACTAAACATCATTTGAACCTTGCTAGCAATATCTGGTATCAGGGCGGACATAATATAAAATGCTGTTGTTCCCATAGAATGACCAATATATGTCAAATTGCTTTGTTTCAGATTTGTAATATATGATATCATCGCTGGTAGATCATATATACCCATTTCATGCCAACTAATGCAAAAATATTATATGAAATATTTCATATAAAACTAGGATTTAAAAATAGAAAAAATATTGTTTCTAAAGAATACACATATATTATACTATTTAAAAAAATATAAAGATATATAAAATTATATATTATACCTAAAATCCCAAAATCTGAAATCTTTTATTGATAAACTTTTATGTGCTTTTGAATAAGTATTACCACGAAAATTACCAAGCCATACATCATATCCATGATCGGCTAATATAAAAGCTATAAAATAAAATATTTGATATAAATAAAAATATCTTATGAAAAATTGTTACTTTATTTTGTACGAATAAAAATAATCTTTAAATAAAATTGAAAATATACCAAGACTCTTTTTTGGACCAGTAAGTACCCAATCAGTAGAACTCCCTAATAAACCGTGTTGCACTAATACTGGATGTGATTTGAATTTTCCCGGAATTCGATGAAGCGTTAAAAGATAACCATCCTTCGTAGATATAACATGTGCCTCGGAAGGATAACCTTCTTTTCGTATAATTTGCGGCTGAAAAATATCAATATAAAAGATTACAATCAAGACATATAATATGTTATAGCAATTAATTGTACAATGAAATAAATATAAATACATAATAGAATTTGAATCTAGTATAATACAAGGAACATTTACTTATTTAAAATAAAAGATTATCTTTTAAAAAAATCACTACATGAATAAAAAAAACGTTGAAATATGATTCATATTATATTTTTATCTGAATGATAAAATCTCGTCTTTATTCTGTACTAATAAATCATTTACTAATAAATCATTTACTAATAAATCATTAACAAAAAAGTATTTACGAAAAGAGAGAAAAAGAAAACGCATTTAAATATAGTCAATGACGTCAATTCATAATATCGTATGAATCGTACCAATCATAAACAAGTATGGATAGATTTATATAATATTTCTTTAATAATCAAATTTATACTTAACAAAAATAAAAAGTCGTTTCTACTTACAGTATTAAGATCGATATATGGATTGTATGTTTCATTATTAGAACCATGACGATACTTTGATATAAATTGTTCAATTGTTTGAATATTCGGAAAAAGCATCAGAAGTGTAACCTCAAAAATTGAAGTACAAATGATAAAAACATATAGCAAAATCATTGTCATCTTAACTAGAATGCGGTAATGTTCCTTAATTTTCTTGGTCAAATAAGTCACAGTAAATGCTTAAATAACACACTTGTTTTGATCAGAAATGTTTATAAATACGACATTATACATTGTTTTTATAAAGATATTATTCATTTACTGTACTTCTGCTATAATAAATTGTATTGTTCTAAATGTCTTCTTTCCTATTATTTACGTATATCTAATCGCATTCTATATATTCGCATTACAAAGCTTTTATGCGCAAGGTCAAAAAGTTAACTTCCATCTAATAACCTATATACAATTACTCTCATAAATATTCGGATATCGTAGTGATAACAAAATTATTATATATTTATTTCATATATTTATTTATATGCTTAACGAATTTATTTTGTTGTAATAAGTTGAATATTTTTAATATACTTCCAATACACATACGTACAAAAGCGTTATATCCTCCTCCATAGTCAACGGACTAAAATCTCATAGAAAACTTATGGGATTTAGTGAATCGCAACATTAAAATAACGCCGATGAAAACAAAAAAATATATGCAAACTCATTCAATAGAAGAGTGGGGACGTATACCGCAAAATTATTTAGAAAAAATAATTTTTCATATACCTACGCGTGTAAGAAAAATAATTAAACAAAAGGAACAATTAGTAAAATATTGAAAAATTATTGAAAGTTTAGTTTACGTATTATCAAATAATTATAGACTGTTAAGTGATCGAACATATTTGAACTGTATTTAATTTTGATTAAAATTTAATATGTACGAAACAATAAAAAATAAAGTATATATTTTTGTACATATATGCATTGGAATAAATACTTTAACCTATTACAACAAAATGGATTCAGTAAACTTACGATAAATAACTACAATATATGAAACGATAATTTTGCAATCACTACGGTGTCCGAATATTTGTGAGAGTAAATGTAGACCTTATTGAAAATGTTACTACAAAATCTCTATAAAAATGTATTATTTTTATTGTTATAGTTATATTTATTAAAAAATAATTATAATTTAATAATATATTATATAATTATAATATACAATTTTTCTACGTGTTCCATTATTAATAACGAGACAATAAAAAAAAACACATCTAATGGTGTGAAAATCATATTTTTTATCTTCCTTCGTTCCTTCATTTAAAGTTTTGAATATGATATAATTAATAGTTTTTAACAATTAATAATTGTGATATAAAGTCTGATCAATTAAATTTTGCTTTATTTGAAAAAATGACTATGCATATATATAAAGAATAATAATAATTAGAACAACATATATAAATTCAAATCTATTTCTATATATCATATTCTCAGAACGTTGTAAAAAGTTAATTACTTTTGTTATGCTTTTATTTTTATAAAATTCTTTTAATAATTAAAATATTATCGTGCTATTTCTATTTCTTCTTTTTTTTATTATGTAAATATTAAATATAGTTGAGATGCAAGTATTTTTATAGTTATAAAAAAGCATTACATCAAATCAATTGTAAGAATAAAATAAAGAATATCAAAACAGCTGATTCTATTTGGTTCATATATAATAATAAAAGTATATATCTAAGAAATTATAGTAATTATTATCATTTAATGGTTACAAAAATAGTAATTAAATAGAAATCTCAAGGTTCTCTTAATTGGAAGTACGTGTTTTATTATTATTTGTTAATTTAAACTCCATGATTTATTATTATTTATGCATTCATTAGACTTTTAAATTGGACTGTATGATATTAACTTATCTAGGAATAATAATAGTATTCAAATGATACAATTAATAGAACTACTTGAAAACATTCCTGAAAAAAAAACAGTGTTATATTGGTCCTTAACTAATGAAATCATGAAATTAGAGGCTAACATAATTTCGAAATTATAAGTTTTAAGTATAATTAATATGACGAAATGTTTGTTATTAATTAATATATATATTAATATATAATATTTATATATGTATATATAAATGTACCTTTACTTAATTCAATTTTTTGAATTATTTTGTATTATATTGTAGAATTAAATATAAAAAATAAATGAAAATACGAATAGAAAATACAAATAGAAAAGATAATATGCTTTTGTTAAAAAAACTTGATGACATTAAAAGTGAAAATAAACGATTTATTAACGAATGTATACCTGAACCAAGTTTCTTAGGATTTTAGGATTTAGCAAAGCTAATGAGTTAATTGGTTTTCTAATGAAAACTTTATAACTAAATTCTCAATTAGATCTAATGAGATATAGATAAAAACTACTTTATAACTAGCATAAACTATACTTAGCAGATAAAAGGGAAAATAGAAATCGGATTTTGAAGTATGTATATTGTAAATGTATCTGAAAAATAAATATGTGAGTTCTTACAAATATTATTGACTTATTTATTTCAATATTTTACTTAAAAGAATACGTAATAATATAAATGCATATAAATATAAAAATAATACTTTAATTGAAATTTAGTTAATTTTTATTTTCCAAAAATGAAGTTCTCTATCACTACCTGCACAAATATATGGATATTTATAATGCCAAGACAAACCTCCTACAATTTTAACTTTCCCATGTAATATAACTTGTTTTAACTTGAAGTTACTAACTTTTAATAAATTATCAGGTCTGCCAATACTTGCTACAATGTGTTCATAAGTAGGAGAGAATTTTATTAACAAACCACCTTCTATATAAAGTGTCCCAGATTCTAATGGTCGACTAAAATCATAAATTTTTTTATTATATTATTTATGATTACATGATCAAGAGATAATAAATTATGTAATTGAACTCTTACCTTGGTCTAGATACATCCCATAAAAGTAATTCTCCAGCCGCTAAAGATACAACTTTTAATGGATTAGAACCCCAATCCGCAGAGGATAAAGGAAGTACTCCTGCATCAAGTGAAATAATTGCTTGTTGATTTCTAACATTGTACATATGGATCAATCCATTTTTTTCTGCAACTAACAACTTTCCAGATTCTTCACTATGCCAGCATACACTCATACCAGGTGATGTTAAATGAAATGTTGAAATACATTTTTGATCTTCTTTAACAGCCCAAAGCTTGCAAGTATGATCATCAGATGTTGATGCTAATAATTCACCCTCAGGTTCATAAGAAATTGAATTTATATAATCTATATGGCCTTCTAAAATCTTAAATAATATAATTTATTTTATAAAATCTGATTATATGATTTATTATTATTATTATTATGTTTTCTAAGAAAATTTACCTCATATATATTAACATCATTTAAATTACTATTATACATTCGTATTCTAAAATCTGTACCAGCAACACAAAATGTAAGAATTTTAGGAACAACACTTAAGGTTGTTTCTGGACTCCATGCAATAGCATTTGGTCTAGTGTCATGATGAAATGTTCTTATTAAATTATAAGCTATATCTTCCACAGTATCATCTTCATCCTACAAAATTTAATAAATGTATTAATATATACTTTATATAATAGATTTTATTAATATATCAAGAATTATAATTTTAGATAAGTTAGAAATACTCCCACAAAGTTACAATACAACATTTAATACATTAAAATTATTTACTTTACATCAAAATTTGATTTACCTGAAATTTGATTGTACCAATTATGACTTCTTCTTTCAAACCAATACAAATCAGTTGTTGGGACCATTCATAAGGAGAAAACTCTACACAATAGATTTGTCCTGATAAATTTAATTTAATTGTAGGAGGTGTACTCAATGTTTCATCCATTTCTTGTCATTAATTATAGAAAGGTATATATGCATCAAAATTAAGCGGCATAACCTTAAAAGCGTACACAAGAAAAATCCTCGTGGTTCTTAATTATGGGTTGTTTATGACATATTGGTTGGTAGAAATGTCTTCTAGTTTTTTCTTTTTCGAGATATAGTCATAAAAAAAGTATAATGTAGATTGATATAAAGTTAGCAAGTAATTCATATATTTGTCCAGAAATGTTTACATATATGATATATTACTATATTTTTTTTATATATTTAATAAATAATTTTTAGAAATTAAAATACTTTTTTTTACGTAGATACTTAAGCTCATTTATAAGTATAATGAGTAGTAAAATACAATCTTAAACTATTATTATTATTATCAAATGATTTTCATAGACAATGTTACAAAATAAATAAATAGTGACTGTAACTTGATTGGCTAATAATTTAAACCACCTTGATCTAATGATCTTAAAAGATTTAATTAAAAGTATAAAAATAATTATTTATGTGACAGTATACTATATTTGTCTTTTGCATTATTTATTTTAAACCTAGCAATATATTTATTTAAGTGTAACAAATTCCATAAATGTGATAATGGAATGAAATTACTAAGAGAGCTCAAATTTAATTAATATATTTAGGTTATGATATGTTGCATTTGTATGTAGAAAATGAATATATACAATTGTCATGAAAAAATAAAAATCCTAGATGACTCATATTGATGTTTATTTAGAATATATCTTGTCATTATATAAAAAATATGTAAATATTTCCAAAAATCGAATTTTGATACATATGTATACAAAAATGTTAAAAACATATTGTAATTTTTCTATACATCTATTGATTTTAATTTATAGATTTTAATTTTTAGAGTTTATATCTACTAATTTGTTTTTGGGACTAAGAGATTTAAATCAGCATTTGTCAATGATGATCCTAAGAACTTTTCTTCACCACCACGCACAGATAAATTTGTTGTAATAATATTAGTTTTTCTTTCATCCATCATTGCAGCTTGTAACCAGTTTGAACTGTTACATTTTGTGCAACTATGCAGAGGTAGTTTTTCAAGACTAACTGTTCTGTTACCACAATCTGAACATTTAAAGAATCTCTTAATAGCATTTATTACACGAATTGGATGTTTTTGTTTTTTACAAAAGTCTGAACTTGAAAATGCAGTGTATTTACATATTAAACATATTACAGCTTTGCACTCTATTTTAAAGGTTGATAACATCTTTTTTTCCATTTTTTCCTTCATTTCCAATTTATTGAAATATTTTTCTTTTTCTTCTTCATATGATTTTTCTATGAGATCTACATGCACAGATTTAGTTTCCATTAATTCCTTAAAATTATTTGGTAAAGAATTAGACTTTTTTGATTCTTGTGTTTCTTCTATGTGTTCATTAATTTCCCTTGTACGTTTGGTACCCCTTTTTTCGTTCTTTTCCAAACTTATTTTATTTGGATCTTTAGGCTTAATTATACCATTTTGTTGAACCCATTTAATAGCATTTCTTTTTGCAATATCAATTTGTCTCTTAGTAATAGGTTGAGAAAAATCAATTTTACCATTATTGCAACCTATACCTAAACGTGGCGTTGATAATAAAGATATTCCTGTATTTATCATTTTCTTTTCTTTATTTTCTGTAACAATAAGATTTTTATTTCCAGTACTTGTAGATTGTGAAGATGATGGTACTAATTCCATTTTTAATTGTTTATTACTATTCCAAACTTTTAATTTATTTATTCTTTCATGATCTTTTGCTATTTGATTATGTTGTAATTCTACAGAAATGATTCCTTTTTTTATTTCTTTGTTATTTTCAATAGATTTAGATCTATCATAATGTGTTTCAGAAAGAAGAGCTAAACGTTTTTGATCATGTGTACGTAATCTGTCACTTTCCTGTGCACGAATTGGAACAAATGGTTGCATACCATTACTATTAAAAATTCGTGATGTTTGTTGAGATTTACTTTTAGGAAAATCTGATGAAAATCCACGAACACTATTATTATTTGATCCTAAATCTGCTCGTTTAGAACATTTTTTATATTCTTGTTTGACATGATATATACAGAATTCACATCGGTTAATATTTACAATAGAAGTACATGGTTCTCCATTTTTCTTTGTTGATTTGCATTTTCCCATATCTTTTGATTTTCCAATGATCAACATTTTTTGAGGAGTATCAATAGACAATGTTGCCTGATCAATGTAATCCTTAGATTCTAGAATATTTGGATTTAGAATACCAATTACAGTACCAAGAGTAGTTTTCCAAAATGTTTTATAAGCAGCACTAAATAAAAAAATAGAAACTGTAGTCATGTTTTCAGATAAATCACTAATTTTCCATATACTATATGATGAGCCTTTTTGTGAAGTTTTAGTAGGTGATTTGTTAATTAATACTCCAGCTATTACCCAATCATTAGACAATGTACCTGATGCTATACATGTTTTAATTTTTGAGATTGTTATAGCTGATTTACCGTTCATTTGTTCTCTCATTTGTTTAGAAGATATAAGTGGATTAACAATTCTTATTCCAAAAAAAGGATCATTGTACACATTATTTTGCACGGGTGATAAATTTTTAACATTATTGTTCGATATAATACTTTTAACAGAAAGTGATCTACTATCTCTTTCATATGTTGCAGAAATATCTTTCTTTTTTACTTCATCTTTCTTTAATAAAAGTTTTACATTACGTCCATATTCAGAATACTTTTGTTTTTCAAAATAACGTTTGTCTTCATCATCTGAAGAATCAATATTGTCACCAAAAAGTTCGTCAATATTTTCACTATTATTTGCCTTCTGATTACTAGTGTTGCATTTACTATTATTTACTTTGTCAATACATGTACTATTAGATATAGAATCCAAAAAATTATAGTCCATTTCTTTAATAGTTTTCGTTTTTGTAGATTCATTTTCTTCTATATCACTGTTTGATAAAAGATCATTCAAAATATTAGCTCCATCAGAATCATTATCACTATCCATATTTGAAATCGACAAATTTTTAATAAAATATAAACATTAAGGTTATTCACCGCCTTTTGTCCTTAGCATATAAGACTTCAGCGACAAATATGGCCAAATATTAACTACAAGCGCACTAGAGAAACATTGTTCCCACGTGTTCTCATTGCATATAAATTTATGTAGGTTATAATCCTCTAGCACGTAACATAGCATCGGAGTCAATTAAACGTTTGTTTGTTTTTGTTGATATTAAATGTATTTATCTATCTGAAGAACAAGATTTAACTCAATTGAAATATTAAATTGAAATTATTTTATATTTAACACATTTTACGAATTATGTGATGTTTAAATAACTAGATTATTGTTTAAATATTAGATTATTGTATTCTGTGTATATCATACATTGTTTAAACGATTGTAAAATTATCAAAAGTATTAATTTTTTAATTTAAAATGTTCGAAAAGAGAAAGTTTCAATGTTTATTATGAGAAGATATGATTTCTTGAAAATTCGCAAGAAAAACAATCACGCGAAATAACATGCGGAATATACTTAAGAGAGGACAGAGATCTTTGTGTAACAGCAAGTAAATTAGCTATATTATAACTTGTTCTTTTAAATATATTCTTTCTTTAATTATTAGAAATCATCATTATCATATATAATGTAGGATGTAAATAATTTATATAATATTTAAGTATATATATACATATACATATTTTTTTTTTTACTTATAATTATTCTCATTATTATATTATATAAATATGTATCATTATTATATTATATAAGTATGATATATTATATATCATTTCTATTGTAATATTAATAATACAATATTAAGAGAACTAGTCCTACAGAAGAAACAACGAAAAAAATAGTGCTGTGAGTTTTACTTCATAGATAGTGTGGAAATAAACTAATGTTTTGATCTTTATAAAAATAATATATAATATATAAGTATATATTCACTAATTATTATTTTTGATCAAATAATTGACAGAATCTTGATTTTAGTTACAATTTTATATGCTTCATATTTGTTTATAGAATTCTACTATATCCAATCTATTTATTTATTATTAGCAATGTAAACTATTAGTACTTCAAAAATTGTTCATCAAAATTATTCAAATTTCATCAAGTATTATACCTGTAGTCCATTGTTGGCATAAACCATTATAAAATCAGGGATAATGAAGCTTTAATGTGTTAACGCTATATAAATAACCAATTGTAATTTCATGCAATCATTAACGCGGAAATATGACTACGAGTTAATGTGTCAAATAATATAATTTTCTTTATTTATAATTCTGCAAAATAACTTATATAAATATAGTTGACACTTTTTATATTATATATTAATATATATATATATATATATATAAATGATAATAAAGAATGTCACTAGAAACGATCAAAGCTATAATAACAATAATAACGTAGTATATATGATAATATAATATTTACAGAACTTAATTTGATAAATTAATGTAACAAATAAATTTTTCCTCAGTAAAATTCATGTCTTACAAAAAATTTAACAGAAGGCCTCAACAATTTTAAATACATGTAAGTTTTATATAATATGTTAATCTATTCTGGTCTATAGTATAAAGCAGTTTGTTTGCTTGCAAATATAATAAGTTTACTCTTGCTTAAAGCATGTATGATAATACATACACACACACACATACACACACGCACACACATCATGTATATGACATAAATTGGTATTACTTCTGTTTAAATCTTTCTGCATAAATAACATACATACATACATACATACATACATACATACATACATACATACATATATATATATATATATATATATATATATATATATATATATATGCATATGTATATGACAAAACTATATACTGCTGTTTCATTTTCTACATGGCCTGGAGAATATATCATAATTTTCAATACATTTAAGAATTGTACTCTCATATTACAAGCGTCATCCTGCGTATATCCTCTTTAACATTGTATATTATTTAAGTGGAATAATGTAAGAAATAATACTTGAAATTAGATTCTATATATATGGAATTCTAAATAAGAATTGTGTATTTTATAAGGAAGGCAATCAACACAATCCACCCTCATAATCATCGGAATCTTCATTAGTATCCAAATTGTGTAGAGTTGTATTAGATATTTCATCTTCCACTTTATCTGGTATTTGTTCCATTGTATCACTAGATACAGAAACAGTAGTAGCAGCTGCAGCAGCAGTAGCACCAGCAGCAGCAGCAGTAGCAGCAGCAGCACCAGCAGCAGCAGCAGCAGCAACAGTAGCAGCAATATCATCTTTCTATTGAATGAATAAACATAAATATATTATTAATGTATATTTAAAAGAAAATTATAAATGTAAATATACTCATCATATATACTTACAGAATTGACTTCAGCTTCAATTGTAGCTTGTCCAGTTAATTTGTTAGCATTAGGTGATACATATGATTCTGCTGCATTTGCTCTAATACCTACAGGTGGTACAGCATATACTTGTTGTGGTAGAGGTAAACCTCGAGCAAGTTTTGCATATTCAACATCCATGTGTTTAATAAAAGGACTGTTTAGAGCAGATCTAGCTGCATCTGCATCTTCATTATCATATGCTTGTAAAAGCATTTCCAAAGTTTGAACCTATTTAATAAGTTAATAATGTTAGTTAAAATTAATTAAAGATAATTAGTAGAAAGCATTTTATATAAAACGATATTTATTTTTAAAAATACCTCAGGTGCATCACAATAATTGCCCCATTCTTTAAATGCCTTTTCTGCTGCAACTTGATCACCACGTGCTAATTGTACTAATACTAACGCTACTGCTAGACGGCCTACTGATGGTATATGATCTATTTGTTGATGCATTCCTATTTCTCTGCGAATGGCATCTGCAGCTTGATCATACATTTGAAGTTTTACTAAAAGCCTTCCTACCTTGCTCATATATTCTGCTGCTTGTCTTGGACTATCTTCACCCTTTAATCGAAAAAGATTTTTTTAGACAGTTCATATTAATATTATACAATAAGTAATTTATACCATCAAAATATCTGCTGCACGCTTAAACAATTCTAAAGCTTGTTCTGGCTGTGTGGATTCTACCATTTTTCCTGCCTTATCAAGTACTGTAGCACCTGATTCAGGTGAACCATGTTGTTGATATAAAGAACAAGAATTGTGTGCAAGTTTTGGTACTTCTGAAAGATTGCCCATTTCTTTGCAAATTACTAAAGTTTGTTCTATACTCCTGAAAATATATCTTGATGACTTCAAGCACAAGATAATATTAACACTTTTCTTTATAGTTAATAACAATTTAATACATATAATAATGAATACTTACTTTGCTGCATGAAACCATCTATAATATAATTCAGGATAATAAATATAATTAAATATATAATAATATTTATTAATTTTGCTACTACATATATAACACGACAATATTGATTTATGAAAGGATACGCTCTATTTTGTTTGTAACAATCAGAAGCTTTCATCAAGCACTCTCTACATTGTTGATATGATTTGGCAATTCGGAAACAAGTAGCTAAAATGAGTTAAAATATATATATTATTAAGTCACATCATTTGCAAAAGTGATCAATTATTTTACCTGCATGTGTATATTCATCAGCAGCAAAATCGAAATCGGGCTTCCATTTTAATAAAGAAGTTTTTAAGCTGTAACAATTATAGCAAAACAAAAATTTTTTATTTCGTGTTGAAAATTAAGTTTTTCACATTATTTCTTTCGTTATTCAATAATAATACCTTTTCTCGGCTTGCCGTATGTGAGCATTGCCTTCTTCGATCTTTGACATTTTTCTCCAAATGATGTCAGTTGATAATTAATCTTCACTTCGACAATTCCTTTTGTTAAGGAATAAAACAGTGTTCGATTCCGATATTACTTGTGACAGGTACTTCTTGTCAAGGTACTGTGCACTTTTTTAATTCCTTAAAATTGATATTTTTTAGTTAGAACAAATGTAAAACAAGATTTTTTCGTACTCAATATATTTGTTAACGCAAGATGGCGTTGTCTGACACAAATGTAATCGTTTTTATTGGTCCTATTTACAAACTCAGTAAATAAAAATATGATATATAAATAAAAGGTTTATTGCGATTCACTTAATTAATTATTATATTTATAATCATAAATTACAAAATATATTTCTTTTTGGTTTTGACAATAAATCAAAATAAGTGGATAACTGACATCTGGCGGCGGATTATAGAGTATCTATAATGCATTCATAATCCGTTCTATTTCATTTTCTTTAGTTCGATATTATGATCGAACTTTTGTGATTGTTTACTACGATGGCCCTTAGCGGAAAACAGCGGGAAAACAGTAAGGCAGTGCATTGTAAAACCTTATTTTTCGTTGGAAGTAATACATTTCGGAAGAGGTACAAACGTGCATGTACACATATAATATTAAATATTGAAGGTAAATGCAACATTTAGACATTACTTTAAATTTATACTTTTCTATGTGTAATGATATATAACCTATACGAACTGTGTATTACTTTGTTTGATAATATATATAAGTAAATATATATTGATAAAATATTAAATAAACACTAAACACACTTTATATTTATATAATTAAAATAAATATTATATAATACTTATTTTATTACATTATTTTCATTTGTAAGAAATTATTTTTTTGATATATTCAACTTATTCGCTTTTTATTCTTTATTTTCTTTACTTAGGCTTTTACACAAAATAATTAAATGGCTGAACGATTAGAAGATTTAAACCTTCCAAATGCAGTTGTTACTAGAATTATAAAAGAAGCTTTACCAGATGGAGTTACTATAGGAAAAGATGCAAGAACTGCTATTGCAAAAGCTTCATCAATTTTTATTTTATATTTAACATCGTCAGCAAATATAATAGCCAAAAAAGCAAATCGTAAAACTATTAGTGGCACAGATGTTATACAGGCAATGGCAGACATAGATTTTGATCAATTTGTAGATCCTTTACAAGAATCCTTAGAAAATTTTAAAAGAACTCAAAAAGAAAAAAAAGATGCTACAACAAAGAAAAAACAGATCAAAAAAGATGAAGATGAAGTAGTTGAAGATGAAGATACTGGAAAGGAAATTACAACTTTATAACATAGTTGACAATAACTTTTTGTATTAATACTTCTAAATAATATAAAGTCAATTGCAAAAGTGCAGTTTTTTTATATTATTATATATTTATTATTATAACCATTATATATAATAATTATCAAATATAACAGTATGATGTTCATTTTTTCATAGATATATTTATTCTTTTATCTTGTGAAGAAGGGTAAAAGCATCACTTACATTTTATAATTACAATAATTTTTGTATATATTTTTTTATTATATCATTATAATGATATAATTCCGTATATTTTTTTTATCATACAATTTAATAGATTAATTTTGTACATAACCAACTTATATCTCAATATTATACGAAATGTTTACAGTTACTATAATGATTATTAGTTATTTATAAAAATGTCATACAAATGTTGGTTTACAAACATTTTATTCTATATATTTTTAGCCGTTTTTATTAGAATAAATTAAATTTCGAAATTAACTTAGGTTACTTATTTTTGATTTAAATATTCAATATCATTTATAGAGCATGTAGAAATAAAGTTATATTACTATAGAATCATATTTAATATAAAACTTGAAAATTTTGTAACAGATTAAGATATTTAAAATCTTAATCTATTTAATTTTCATTATACTTGACTTAAATGCAAAATTATTTCTTATTCTACAATCTTTTATAGATTACTTAGAAAATTTGACTAACATATTTATTCTTGTTATAGAAATGTGATGTATATTGGAGATTGATATGTTATAGTAATATTTTATATATAAAACCTAGCTCTTCAATTTTAGTATGATTTCTCCAAACCAAATATATAATTTTTGTATTATTTGATTATGTATAAGAAATTTTTTAAATAATATCCAAATTTTATTTTTCTTATTTAAAATATTACTTTTTATAAGAAACAATAGAATAAAATTATATCTATTTTTTCTAAATTTGTTTTGTGTGATCTATTTCCAGCAGTTTTTCAATTGAGTAATATAGATAAACTATCATATTGCACGTATTTAGATTATTCCTAAAAATAAAATCTGTAGACAACATAATTAGAAGAGACCATTTTATTTAGTAATATTTAATTATATTTCAATAATAGAAAAATTATAAATCTTTAAATTTTACTTGAGTAATATTTATGTCATTTTGGCAAACTTCATCCATCTTAATTATTTATATTTTAAGTCATTAGAAAGACATGTATATGAATATGTAGTATTCTTATTTTTTTTATTACGACCATAGATGCTTTTATAAAAGGAACATTTTTATAAAGTTTATGTTAGGTTGTATATCTAATTTATTAATTAAATTAACGAAGTTTGTTATAGAGAAATATGAAATGCATAATAAATAAATGATCACACCTAAACACAATAGTAAACATAAATTATTAGTAAAAATACTGCATATATGTAATATATTTTCTTTTTATTATGTGTATATTACGTACTGTATCTTAAAAATAACCAGTAACTGGTTCTCTAATTTTTTAAAAAAGGCATCTCATGGCTTATGGCTTTAAAATTCTCATTTTGCGTTCTATAATACTTCGGCACATGGGACATTTCGATGAAACCATATTTGCACAATTTGAGCAACAACACAAATGTCCACATGGTAGAAAAATTACTTCACACTATAAAAATCAAAAACAATAAGAGTAATGATATAATAATAAATTATTTTCGTATATTTATTTATGTTGTGATAAAGAAAGATAAAAGCATTATAAAAATTAACAATATTTATCTAATAAAAAATATTCATTAGACTCACCTGTAAATCAAGACAAACAACACATTCAGCAGTATTAATACTTTTCGCAATATCAAGTTCGGGTTGATTATAACTAGTAGAAGCTTCCTCAGGTGGTGCAGAAGGCAATATTGATGAATTATCTTCATTTGTTTTTATTTCAGCCAAATAATTTTCAGCAGCCATCTTTATAGCAGCGCGATCCCGTTCATTCGTTATACCAATCTGCAAAGTTATGTTTTAAGTTGTACATAAATAATTAAAAATATATTTAAATTATTAAATTAACTATTTTTAAAGTTTTTACGAATAAATATTACGAACAGCTTGTAACTGTTCATCATTAATATTTGGTAATAACGATGGTAATGTAGCCAAAAAAGGTAGGCAGTGTAGTGCTCCTGCAATTGCAACATGCCGCACTAATGTAGGTTCTAGCATTTCTAATAAACCCTGAGGACGAGTTTCCATTAATGAATGGTACTGCATTAACCAAAACTGACTGCTTCTTCTCAAATCCTTCAAAATAAATAAAAAATTAAAGAAAAATAAAATAAGTCAAATTGACATCTAAATAAAATAAAAATGAAGCAGGTAATTACACTACTAGATCGTTTTTGTTCAATATGATTAATGGTTTCGAGAAGTTGATCTCTTCTATTTTTTTGTTGTTCTAATAAACTGATAAGAATAGCACTTAATGCTACTCTTCGTTCAGCAATCTCATTCTGCAAATTCATAATGTTTTATGGATATAGAAAAATAAAATCTATTATAAAATATAATTGACTGAATTTTCTTACAAGTTGTTGGTTTATTTCAAATTTTCTTCTTTCTAGTTCTATATTAGTTAATGCAGCTAATTGTGATTGGACCAAATTCACTTGTTGCATAATACTCCAAGATCTTGCATCACTTCGTTCTAATAAAGCTGCTACTGCAACCTTTTGCAACACTTCATCTTGACGTATTTTGTCAATAAGATCTTGTCTACTCTTTTCTTGATTTTGTACAATTTGTGCAAGATGATCATTCTGCCTTACTTCCCTGCATTATTAAAATTGTAACAATTGAAAAATATCTATTAAAGTTATATAGTGAAATACTAACAGAGATAATAATGATTGTGCAGTATAATTTTTGTAGTTTGTATGTTCTTCCAATTTTCTTGTCCTATATAATTCCTCTTCCAATAATTCTTCCATTGCCACTAAAAAAAATATTTTATACATATATACACACACACTAATACTACTTATACTAAATTATTAAATATACAAAATTTACAAAGAGTATCCTTTGTACGAAATAAGAATTGTTCTGAATGACAAGATGATAATAATTGCATTTCTTCTTGTGCTTCTCGTTCTAATAGTTCAGCTTGAGTTTGCCTTTCTTCTTCACTATTTCTTAGAAATTCTTTTATTACATTATCAGCTTCTTTTTCAGCTAAAAATGAGTGAATGTTATTGTTAAATCATGAATAAATATTAGATAATATGAATTATGCTTAAATTAGACAAAGAATTGTTATAATTTCTTAATTGTCTTTATTAATAAATTTAAAAATAACAATAAAACTGATATACCATTAGAAATGTAGGAAAGCAGACGTGCTCTATTAGTGTCCCTTTCTTTTTGTACTTTTTCTAATTTGTGTTCTAACTGAGTTTGTTGTAGGGCTAAGTCTTTTAACAGCTAGAATTAAGAATGCAGAACGCATCTAATTATAAAATTCTGCTTTATATCTAAGATAATGAATTTAACCCTTAGTGTCATACACATAGATTTGAAATACCTTCTTTTTATGTGACTTTAACATAGATTGAACCTCAATTTCATATTCTTTCTGTTGTTTTATATTTCTTTCTAATTCTAATAATGCAAATTGACGTTGCTCCTGTAAATTAAATAATTTTATATTGTAAAAGTTTATATAAAAATAAGTGAACATGTATTACTTGAATAAAATTCAGAGAATTAATAGTAAAATTGACTATTAATAGTCAACAAATAGTAAAATTGACTACTAATGAAATAAAAATAGTTATGTTAAATTATAATAAACAATAAAAAGCGATGATACTGATACAAAATATTCTGAAACATAAAAATAACTATGCATGCCTTTGCTTTTTCTAACTGCTGCAATGTTTCCTAAAAACAGAAATAAGAACATTATGACATGCATTACAACACCAAAAGACAAGCTGTCAACATGCAATACCTGCACATCACTATTCTTATCATAGTATATTGCTTGTACATTTTCAGAGCTTGTCTCTCTGGACAAGTCATTATCTAAAACTGAATCTTCAGGGGAATATTCAATTCCAGATTCATTTGCTAAAAATGCAATGATTACAATAGTACCCCCACTCAAAATATCTCCAGGTGGATAAGATAATTTTAATCCATCAATATTTAAACTTGTTATTAATTGTAGGTAACCCAAAGATTTAGGGAGTTTTTGAAGAGGTTTATTGTAACTAATATCCAAAGTAATAAGATGCTGAAGTTTACCAATTACTTCTGGTAATTGTATCAAATTATTTCTTGATATATTTAAGATAATTAATTTATTTAAATGTGCTATTTCGTTGGGTAGTTTGCTTATATTATTTTCCTGTAGATATAATTCCTAAAGTATAAAGAAATGGTTTGTTATGTATAGATTAAATAAATTATATATCTAGATCTCTTTTTACAAAGTATTTTTTTATACTTATATGGATTTTTTAACACGTTTTATTTACTTTTATATAGTTACAAACACAGACTAATTAGTTTGCAGAAAATGTTACAAAAATCATGCATATTTTTTTAATTAGTTTAACATCAGTTTTATAATTTTTGTAAATCAATTTACATAATACTTTTTATATAATTTGCTATATAAAAAGAGATCTAGATATACTTTGTATCTACATTTAAATGAAATATAATATAATATAATGTATATATGCTTATACCTTGAGTGAGACAAGACACATAATGTCAGGAGGCAAAGTATTAAATTGATTTCCATGAAGATCTAAGACAGTAAGCAAAGATAGATCATTCAAGTTACCTCCACCCGAAAGAGAAGATAACTTATTACAATACATCCATAGCATTTTCTTCCTAAAGACTTTGCATAACGAATAAATCCCAGGTGGCACATGTTTTAGAGCACATTCAGAGATATCAAAAACAGGTTCTGGATTTTCCCTTGCCTATTACATTTTAATAAATATAATAATTATCATGATGCATATAATATTGCTATGAAATTTATTTGAATTTAAATATTTTTTTTTTTGAACAAGCTACAAAAAGAAATAACAATAAAAATCAATCATAAAATTATCATCCTATTGATATCATAATTAATATTCAATATTAATATCATAGTAACAATCATGATTATTCTCAGTTAGAGAAAACAAACTCATGCATCAAATCAGTGTTATTGATGCATCATATTTTACATTAGGAACTGGTGAATATTTTGACAATCAAGCCACATCTTTTGTTTAAATACATTGTGTATGTACTAATATATTTTGTATAATTTGAAAAACAATTGAAGCAAAAGGGTCAAATTGATCACGACAATTTATCGTATAATGAGGATGACGTTAATCATTAACCTCCAATTATAATGAACACATACCAGATACAATTTATATTCAAGACGAGCTTTGTAATCCATATTAACTTTGCTCCCATGTTTATTTATCAGAGACATCATTAGTCTTATGTGTCATGACAGCGATATGTGACATATATAATTTACATTGTCATCGGTTTGCCTTCGATCGTCGTGACGCGATTTCGTTTGCTTTGGCGAAGCACGAACGGAGACACGTATCATCTGTCAAAGCATTCTTTTTATTCACAGAATAACTACGTATATTGCGTCTCTCGCGAACAAGTACGTTAATTGGCAATGTAGTCATTTGCTGTTTGAGTTAAAGGAACACGCACAGAACACCTCCCAGTCAGACATCGAACTAACGTTCGCTATACTTATTATATCCAACCAGACCAATCGCGTACGTGCTGCACAATGTACAGTTGCAGAGAATGTGTTCTACTATTACTAAATGATGCTGTCAATGATAATACTGTCATTTTTCATTGTAACGTTAATTTCTAATTCTAAATGATACGCTCATTAAGAAATTCATCGAGACTTGAAATAAAAATATATCGAATTTATTTTCGTGCCATTTATTTTTAAATTTGTATTTTATTTTTTAATAACGTTGGCGACAGATTTCTTTCTTTTATATTTTTTCTTTTATACAGACAAAAATTCTAACAATTACACATTTGTATCATTTGCTATAAATTTTTTATGATAGAGATAGGTTTTCGTGTTCTCCTTATATAACGAGACAATCGATACACAATAATTATCACAATACTGACACACGCTAAAAAGATATTCACAGATGGAAATAACAAATGTTAAGAAACGGTTTTTAAAAATTCTGCGAATATTCTTTCTGACGTAATCGATATTCCGTGGGTGTGAGCATTCCTCTGAAACAATATGTGTATAAAGTATATATATATATATATATATATATATATATATATATAGGTTAAATGAGCATTTATTTATTACAAATAAATTGCTTCTTCGTAATATTACTTTAACATTGATTATTTTCGACATTCATAAATAGAATACTTAAAAATTAAATTGTATAAATTCTAAATAAAAAAGAAGAAATTTTAGAAATAATTTTGTTAACACCTTAAAACTGTGTCGAAAGAAACGTTGACTCCTTTGTCACACATTCGTTTGTAGAGATGCCAACAATCCTTCTCTTTACGCGTTTGAAATTGAGGCTCCATTTCTATCGGTATTGCATCTGTATTCTTTTCTTTCAAAGAAATTTCCGTGTTCGAATTGACCTTTTAATAGAGAGGTACAATGAATTATATAATGCGTAACTCTTTTTCGATATATTATTTATAATTAGAATCATATATATATATATGTATATGTATATGTAAATGTAAATTATCTTACTTTTGGAAGTAAAAATTTTGCAGTCATAGTTGTTCGACGAGCAACTAACTGATCGTCCGTTGCTATTGCTTCGTTGTTCTTTTTCATCTCTATCATCGTTGTTTTTTTATCAAGGACACTGTAAAAATATTACGGTATATTAGAATTGTTAAATTAGTAGTGATCATATCGTTTATTCAATCTATTCATAGTATTATCATCTATCCATATATAGTATTATATCAACTAGTCAAGAGTAGTAGGAAAACATTCGATTATTATCGATGATCTCTTTCAATACCGAAAAAAAATGTATTATATATTTACATTGTAAATTATTCACATAAAGTGGAATAAAATGAGAATGGCCGTACCAGTATATTGTAGCTCTTTTGATAACGTTGTATGTATATCGTATCGACCCAGCTCTTTTTTTTTCTCGACTATCGTAAATCATGGAGTAATCAAAGTGTATTTCGTGACCTTTATGAAATATTAAAATGCGGATATATTCGAAGAACCAAGTTCATTATGGTAGAACCTACGCGCATCGTCTATGTACACTTTGTTGAAAGAAGATGCACGCTCGAGTTGTAATTGTGCTTTTACTTTACTTATAAATAATAATGTAAATAGGCGCAATGTTAACGAAGTATGTGATAACGGATAAGATTAATTTTAGAGATCGTATTTTTTCTGGCTTTTTCAATGAATTAGCTTTTTATTTAACACGACTATTTTTATAAAATAAATTCGTAGTAATATGTATTTTTTTTTCTATTATCAGACAAAACAGAAAGACTTACGTTAACGTTGAAGTATTGCGTATTCTAGGTGGCTTCTTTTTCATATCATCCACATTTCCGATTGGTACGGCTAGACTTCGCATGTCATGCTCCATCAAAGGAACGCATAAAGACTCGCTTTCATCTTGGACAAACGATAGCATTGGTAAAGCCGTTTTGATTTCGTTCGATTTCCAAAGAATCGATTCCTTACTCGTTCCGTATTCTCCAAGATCTTCGGAATCTTTTATCACGATGAAACGATTTTGAGAGAGGCTATTTTTTGTTTTCACACAATCAAACTGCGTTTTTTCCAAGATAGTATCCTCATCGAAAGAATCTCTTTGAAAAGAAACTACAAGATGCGTTATTTATTCGTTGCACATTTGTTTCTTGTTATTGTCTAGTAAGATTTATTTTTGATAGAAACAATACGAATGTCGATTGTAATTAGAGAATATTACATTCATTTAAATTATTTTGCATATTGTAATATTTTTGAAGATATTATCATATTGAAATCGTATTAGAAATTAATTTGTATATTGATAAATTTGTTATGTAATTTTCATAAACAATCGTTTAAAGTAACGGAAAAATGAGAATCGATATAACGAGCGAAATTAAAACTTCAAAAAAGATTTATCGCTGTTATATGTATAAAAGTACCCTTTGTTAAGTGTTAAGAAGTCCAACACGTTTTTCAGTTTTATTAGTTCGTTTAAAACTCAAATAAAGTAATTATTGCAGGTTGATTGAGCGTCGAGTTTCAATGAGATATTTTGCTCCATGAAGGGAGGTCCTTGAGGGTTAATAGGGTTGAGAAGAAGTTTGGTCGATTTAACATGTTCAATCGATTATAAAGATAGCACGAAGAAGATAGACAACGCTTTATGAAGAAGACCTTTTTGATAACCGTTAGAAATGGCATCATAGACAAGTACACACTGCAGTTTTCTATGCTTATGTAACAAAAGTCTTTGGTCGTAATAGCATGAATTCATTTAATTCGAAGAAAATGCATCAGTTTATCGTGTCTATCTAACATTGATAGATTGAAAACTCTTAATTTGTTTGAAACTAGACGATTCAAAAGTTTAATCCTAGAAAATATTTCGACGGTTCTATTAAAAATATCGATCGAATCGTTGCATGAAAATTTTTCATTTATGATCAGTTTGATTCATGTACGATATCTAAGCACAGCGAACCAGCGAAAAGATAATTTATGGAATGTGTGCGTCGCGTGTCTCGCACCCTTTGTAATTTGTTCCTTTAATTATCGTTGCACGCCTCGCCTCATTGTTACGCCTACGGTTCATCGAATTCCTACTCGGCTTTTATCAGTTTATTATGCGAATGCCATTTATTACACGGATCGTCTCAAAATTTGAAAAAGAGGTACGATATCAATAAATCAATAAAAAATGTATCAAAAAGTAAAAAATCTATGACATTATTAAATTATTTTAATTGTATTCTTTCTATATATTGTCCAATATTTTTCATTCATTTTCACATTCGAGTCGTCAAACTTACCTGATTTCACAGGTTTCTTGATATTTCCTGGAATCTGCGTTGTCGAAGTTTTTATGATTGGCGCTGTAGTTAATTTTTCTCGTAACTGACTGATCAATTTAGCCTCGTTCGGGGAATTTTCGAGATCACTATCGCTTTCGGTCGAACTAACTAAGGAAACCATGGTAATGACATCGTTTGATTTCCCATCGCAATCTTTCGTAGATATTCTACATCGACCTCGTGAACCATTACATTGTTCATCTTTGCAAGCAGATCCTACGCTGTGTTGACGCTTCTTTATATTTTTGAAACGTTTTTTTATCGGAGCTGATCTTATTGATCGAGCATAGGACGGCTAATAGATATTGGGATAGTTAAATTATTGCAAAAAAATTAATTACTAGCATCTCAAAAAACTCTTTAATATATTACCTTCGATAGAATTTCTTTTTTTTTATCGGTAACAACTTCTTCCTCGTTAACTTTTCCTTTGTCATTAATTTCGTTTGAATTTTTTTGAACTGTTTCAGAATCAAAGGTATCTATGACGATATTTACTTGAATACGAGATGAACTTCGGCCTTGTAACGGTGCAGAGCTACTTCTTGACTTTCGATTAGGCTTTTGATCGTTTACACTTTTCATCGCATTTTGTGGCCCATTCTTAGTTTCATTCTGCTTGATTTCCATTGTTCTTTTATACGAAGAGCTTCTTTCGATCGAATTTAATCTCGATGGAATATCGGTATCGTTTGATATTCTCGAGACAGCAGTCTTATCAATTTCTGTGTATAGAAATGCTCTTTTTGTACCGCTGTGAAAATTGGCACGTTTTTGTTTCGCCGAGGCTGCTTCGTTTTGTGTTTTTAAAACATTTAATGTGGTAATTTCGGATTTTAATGTTGGTAATTTTATATTATCTTCCTTCTCGATGCACACTTTTTTTTCGTTTTCAATGGATTGATCCGCTGAAACCTGAAAGAAAATAATTATACAAGAAGATTTATTGTTAATAGGATCATGTAAAAGTTATACCTCGATTGTTTCTTCTAGTGTCTTGTTAGTGTTGTTTTCTACATACTTTATCCTCTCGATCGGCCCAGAATAACAAACATCATTTTGAAGTTTCACCGAAGAAGCTTTAACAACTTTAAAATTGTCCTCGATCGCTTTCGTTTTTTTTGGTCTTTTTGTTTCTTCGATGTCCTTGTTCAAATCCGTTCTACCCCCAAGAGAATCCGTACGCTTCGTTATTTGAATTTCATATGTATTATCGCTGCGAGAAATATCCGAATTATTGAGATCGGTGATAAGATGACTATCTTTCGTTGATTGAAGAATTTCGCTTTTGGAGATAGGTGTCTGCGGTTCCGAAATAGTAGTATAATTTGATGATTCAGAATCGCATCGTTCTTCGACGACACCATGCGCCAAAAATATATCGATATTGGCTTTATTTTCTTCGCGATGTTTCCATGCAAGTCTTAGTCTTTCCGTTAATTCTTGCCTCGAGTAAAGTATTGATGCCTTCTCTTCATTTACAATCATATTCCTGGTTTGAGATTTCTTCAAGGCTGACTTCGACTTACCGGTAATTTGTCGTGCAACGACTTCGACATGATCAATGCTGTCATTTTCGCGATGTCGTTCGCCCCAAGCTATACGCACCTATAAGATTTAATAGAATTTTTTAA